GGAAGACGAGATACTAGTTCGATGAGGAATGACCACCTCCGTCGTTTCAGGCGCAGCGTCGGGCATCGAAGCCTCCTCGCTCGCAATCTTCACGGCAACTGCACTCTGGGCAGCCGCCGCCCGCGCCTTGACGGCTGCCGAAGCATATGCCGCAGCGGGCCCAACGGCAGTCGAAGCCACATCACCAACGCCCACTTGCCGCTCCCACCATCCTTCGTCGTGGCACTTGTACATCCGGAACGCCGTGCCCTCCAGCTCGCACAGCACTCTCCGCCATTTACGGTCACGTGCCTGCTGTCCGGGTGCTGAAAATTCCATTTTGCGCGGCATGATCGCCCGAACGAGAATCGAGTTGGAGTAAGCCGGGAGGGTCTCCCTGCCTTCGTCGTCGCGTGGGACGACGCGTGCTTGGGCGAGCGGATGGGGACCCGTGACACCGGCCAGCGGGAGCAGTGGTAATGTGTACGGCGGGGGAACGGCCATGATCTCCGGCATCGAGCGTCTCCGCTTCATCGTGCTCAGCCGACGGGTTGCCATCGACTGGCTGTCGTAAGCAGGGGCATCACCCAACGATTCTTCCAAGGGTGGATCACCGCTTATCGTTGAGCCCAGCAGATGGACCATGCTCCGGGACGCATGCTTGTAGATTCCGGGTCGATCTGGAGCACCCGGCATGGGTGGCATGGGCATGGTCCGAGCGATTGGCGAAGAAACACCAGGGGTAGAGGGCATCCCAAGAGGGGTTCGGGCTTCCGATGTTGGTGTGCGCATGGCGAAGTAGTCTGAATGTAGCACATGTTGCGGCACCGGTGTTTTAGTCCCGAAGACTTGTGCCGGGAAACCTGGCTGCTGCGCGACTGTCCCGCTTTCGCGTTCCTTTCCTTTGCCCTTCAGCCCCAGCCCGGCCAAGTCCAGCGACAGAGGGATCCTCTCCAATGGCACAAACGGAGACTCGGCCGCGCCGCTTTCCCGGGATTCATCCATCGACGGGCCATGCGAGACACCATCATCCTCGTCCTCATCCTCGTCCTCGTCTCCATCCTCATTTTCCGAGTCCGACTCTCCGGCCGCAAGTCCATCGTCATCCGAACCGCCCTCCATAGCCAGCGCAGGCATGGCCTTGACCGCCGCGCGACTCGACTGCCGATCATGCGAAGATCCAAAAATGACACTCGATCGTCGGCCAACGCCGCCACTCGCGAGGTTATCATCGGTCCCTGTGGCAGACCCATTGAGGACACTCGGCAATTTGATAACCGGAATAGCCAGCGGGGGCTGGCGCACAATGATGCTGGGACTGAGCCTCCCAATTTCGCTGCCGGGAGAGAGCGGCCCGCTCCCCGATGCGTTGAAGGTCATACTGAATCGATTCATCGTCATCGGAATTGACGGCGGCCGCCTCGAGGGTAGTGTGCCACGCAGCGAAGACGCAGGTGAAGATGGAGTGTAACTGTATCCTGACGATGCAGTCCGGTTCCGTGGGAAAGATGCGAATCCATTCGGTCCCCACGGTGGATTGGTGGACGTGGGAGAAGTTGATGTCGGTGGTGAGCTGGAAGACGCCGGTTGGGAGACAGGCTGTCCAACCGGAATCACAAGCGGAATGGTCGTCAGCGGAGGAAGAGGGGCCGCCCGCGAGGGTGATACTGGAGCAGGTAGGTTGGCAGTCGCTACGGGTATATTGGCAGAAGATCCAATCATCGACGGTTTCGGTGTGATTATTTGTCTTTCTGCTGACGGTGGCGTCATCGGTGTCGTTGTAGGTGTGAGATCTCGTGCCGAATTCGAGGTAGCGCCAAGTCCCGCGGTGGGTGCAATCAGCACAGTTTCGTCGCCGTCCTCGTCCGATCCATTTCCTGCATCGCTAGCCCCGCTCAACGCCGTAGCAAACGAGTCCACAGAGGTGCCCGATGCAAACGAGGCAACAGAAGCCCGCCTCGAGTCTTGGGGTGGAGGTGAGGTCGCGGCTGTTATCTTCGATCCCGGAGAATACGTATGTGGATTCCGAGCTTTCGCTGCACCCGGCGGAAGATCGGGAACAGTCCCTCTCACGTGCACTGACGTTTCGCTTTGTGATGCGGGATAAGGAAAGCCATCGTCGCCGCCGAGATATCCCGGGGCGCCGTGCGGCACAAAATCAGCGTCAGAAACGTAAGGCAAGCCTGAGACATGAGCCCGCGGCGTTCTGTCGGCAGGATTGCGGGAGAGTACGGGCATGCCGCTTAAACCCATGGGCAAGCTGTTCAAGGACGGAGATGGAGAAAGGTCGTTACGCGCTGTCGCGTATGACGTCGTGGATGACAGCGTTGAAAGTGTGGTTGTCGAACTAGAGTTGAGAGTGCCATTGGGATCTGTAACGGGGAGTATGACATGAGATTGCTTGCGGTCACAGGGGGTGTATATGGGAATCAACGCACTAAGGGTGACTGTATGCGCCTGCATCGCGTTGTCGGAATCTCCACACTCCAATGCATTGACGGAGGGCCCAAAAACGTCGCTACTCGGCCGACTCCAGTTACGTCCGTCGGAATGCGTTTGTGAGCGTGCTCTGCGAAGTTGTGGACCCGCAGCAGGAAAAGAGGGTTCGGAGTCTCGTTGAACGAGATTGGTGGGAGTCGGCGGAGTAACTGTCGGAAGACCAACCTTGGTACTTGACGTTGAGGGGGGATCTAAATCCCGTCGTGCATGCGATTCCGGTGCCGCGTCACGTGTCATATCGTAACTTGGACCGCGTTTCGACGGCGAAGACGAGGGAGCCGCGGTCACGATGGTGATTGACGACATGGATCCGGAAGAGCTGGAGTACGGGAATGACCTCGTGGATAATGGCGTCGAAGCGGAAGACAGTGAATCGGACCGAGGTCCTTGGAGGAGCACGTTGTCGAGCGACGCGAGCTTAGCTTCTTGGTGCAATATGGAATGCCTGCACGTGGAACGCTGCATTTCGCTGTTTAGTCATGGGGAACACGGCCGACGTGCGGCAACGACAGACCTGGCTGGAAACATCGACTTTGGAGGCGGTGCCGGACATTAGTAAGGATCTTCGGCCATGTCTGCACTGGGAGTAACTCACCTGGATCGTCTACTGGGAAAGCGGGACTGGGCGCGCAGCTGGATGGCCACTTGGGGGTGACGGGGGAACGCGACGGAGGCTGTTCGCGATTCGAAGTGGTGAGATTCGAGCTTGAGATAAAGCTTGATGACATGCAGACTGCAGGCTCGGCAGCCTCGAGACGCGATGGGAAAGTCGGAAAACAATCTGTGTTCCGTCAAGCCAAGGTGAAAACCGGTCGAAAAACCTACTGGGTCCGAATGCGAGCCTTGGCTGGCTCCACCCAAACCTCCGTGAGGTCTGACGTCAAACTGATAGATCGAAAAGTGTGACACAACGCGATCTCGGTGTCACGGGCATTCAATATTCAATGTTCACGCGTCGCCATGATCATGTGGAAATGCCCCCGCGATGATCAGGATAGACGAGGACAAAAGCTTTCTGTTCAAAGTGAGGCTCGCATCTCTTCACTTCATCGCATGATGTCATCTAAACCCGAGCTCTACAATTGCTTCTCCAGGACTATAAAATACAAGTCGTCTCGGAGGACATGACTTGTGACTATCTGATCGTACGGGAAGGGCCGAGTTTCGCCTGTTCGAGTGTATCCTCTGCGGCCATACCTGGGCGAGCGGTTGACTCGGTCACGCTGATACGTCTCCGGGAAACGACTTACCAAGCTATAAGCGCATCCCTTTGTGCGACAACGGTCAACTCTATCTTGCGTACGCCCCATAACTCGACCGCCTGCTGCTCAGCGTGGAGAAGAATTTGGTGGCCGATGCCAGCCGCTTGCAGTAACGGGTCGACGGCGAACATTCCGAAGTAGACTCTGTCTTGACGATGCTCGATCTCGCAACACCCCAGTATCTTCTGGTACTCGTCGGTAGCCACGTGTATTCGTATTTCTGCGGTTTCCATCTTCTTGAGGACGCCGATCGTGTTGATTCTTTCGTCGTTGCGAATGCCACCTATGACCGACCATCCTTCAACTCCTAGGTATGCGCGCTGGACGAGGTCTGCGATTGCAGGCGCGTCGCTGGAAGTGGCCAATCTGACTTGGATGTGCAGAGTCATTGAAAGAGACAAGTTCTGATTGCCGTCACTTAGGTTGACTAAGCCTTAAGAACCTAGCTCTGAAACCGAGTCATATGTACCATTTCCACACCAGACAAATTCACTGACTCAGATTGACACGAATTGTGACTCAGATTTACGGGAAATGGTGCCAGGTTAGCTTGACAAGTCCAGTGGATGTTTTTTTTTCGAATGTCGGAAGACTAGTCCGGGGTTAGTTGGCCACATTGGCGCCAACAAACGCAGGAGGAAGAATCCTCCCGTAAGGATCGTCCGATTTCCTCAGCCGCAGTCAAATTCAATCGCGGAAGAGATAGAAACCAGACAATGATGCAGGCTGCCCTCGACCTTCGGACTCACAGTCCGATCGTGTTGAAAGCTTTGGCGCAACGTTTATCTGAATGCCAACTTTCAGGTGGAACATCAGGCTCTAATCCGTTTGGTCCCCTTTCTTTTAAGACTTGGTTAATTTGGCACTGGTGGTAAACTTGTTCGTCCCCCGGTAGTGATATCCTTAACTGATGTTACCCAGATGTCATGGTAATACTTATCTAGAGGCCTGATAGTTTTCCAGAAATAGATCGTTCTCTATGATCCATCAGTACAGAGCGGACCTGAAGGCCTTGAGCTATGAAATCATGTAGATTCCAAGATGACTCGATTGAACCAATTTGGCAACTGATATGCCAAATGGGGAATTGATATGTATATTTGATTTATCACGTGATAATCGAAGATAGCCGATACTCCCGCAGGACATTGGAACCACATTCTCAAGCGGTTTCTGGCTCTAGTCCATTAACGCAAGCTCTCAATTTCTAAAAATCATCTCCATAAATATGAAATAAATATCATCCCGCAAGGCAAAGCCGTTCACTAGCTGATCATATTGAAAAGGTCGCGTTTCCTCTGTTTGGACGCATTCTCTAAGCTCGTACCTGGGCCGGCGGTCGTCTGAGCTAGCGTGGCTAAGATTCCTCGTATAATGACCCACCGGGATACAAGCATGTCTCTCTGAGCGACCGCCGTCCTCTCCATCTTGCGCACACCCCGAAACTCGAGCGCCTGCTGAGCATGGAGAAGGATCCGGCGGCTGGGACCTGCTGCTTGCAGCGCAGGCTTAACAGCGAACATCCCGAAGTAAGTATTGTCCTGGCGGTTCTCGATCTCGCAGCATCCCAAAGTGTTATCGTCCCCGTCGGTCGCGATGTAGACACCGTGACGCATCTCTAAGGTGTCTATCATCTTCAGGACGCCATCCGTATTGATTTTCTCGTCGTCGAGCAGAGCCGATTCGGTGGTCCATCCTTGGTTGCCCCTATATGCGCGCCTCATGAGTTCTGCGAGTGTAGGCGCATCACTGGGAGTGGCTACCCGGAATTCGATGTGGATCATGAGAGAGATAAAATGAGATTAATACCTATTCAAGTTTCATCGGCCCAATTCCATCACTACGCTGCATTTCATGGAGTTATGTTGCCTGCAAGGCACTTCAGCACTTGACATAAACGCTTTTGGCAAGTGATCTGCCGAATATGGAAATGATGATATTGACGTTACACGCTCTCATCTCTTGCCTCTTTCCGCCACGGTACACCAGACTCATGATGGTCGGACAGGCTCTTTTTCGACTAGGAATGGCCTGGATGGGGCTGAACTCGACTTGGTCACCTCTGAGGGACAGACCTGTATCTTCATGCCCAGATTACACGACGTATTCGGCTTCCGCACAGGGCAACCCGTCGAATGGTGTCCTTGGATTGCCTTACATGCGGCCTGCGCCTGGTATGTACACAAAATTGATATCTGCACTCCGAAATCCTCACTCGTTGCCATGGTAGCTTGTAGGACCTTCAACAGTACATCTGTCGAGGTTTGTGGCAACCTTCCCATTCATTCCGAGAGTCGCTTCGCTTCTCATTCGACCCAGCGCGTGATAGAAGATATGAACCTGCTCTTGAGAGATCCGGACCTTGCTAGACTATTCGAAAACACTTTTGCGAATACGCTTGGTAAGGCCTCTGGGGCATCGTCATAAATGTTTCGTTGACGCGCGCAGACACGACCGTGAAATATTTCAACAAGGTCCGTCGTCTGCAACGTCTTTTCCATGTTCTGCTCGTGCATCACCTTTCAGTCGGAGAACATTGCATTCATCATCACTGGGGTGATTATGCCCATTCCACCTACACCTCGCATCTCATCCACCATTCCAGGATATCACGTTCGCCCGTCTTGACCTACTTCTCGACTAGCGATCTCATACGCATCTTCTTCAAGTGCTCAGTGGTTGAGAGACACGGCCAACCAGGTTGGTCTGACAACTCGCTGCAAGAACGACTAGTTCACTAGTGACAGTTTTCTCAATATCGAACCCTCTTATCCTCAGACGACGACTTAGCTGCTCTAGTCCGCGCGGTGATCAACACCGAAGCTGGCTTCATTTCTCAGTTCCCTTATTGTCGTGTGCCTCCATACGTCTCTTGTCTGCCGCTGATTGTGGACAGGTGGGGCTTTCCAACCGCCTACTCAGACAGGGCTTTCGCCCAGCCATAACGACTGGGCAGACCATGTGGTTGTTAATCCGTGCGCTTCTTCCGTCGGTTAAGCGATGTGCGCAGAACTGAAGACGTGCACAGGCCCATCGATGACAACGTCGTGTTCGAATGCAAAGTACTGCCTATTCCGCTCTCTGTGTTGATCCTGCCAACTCAGCGCTGTGCAGTATGAGCTAGACTCCCTGGCCGGCTTTCTGAAGCTTTCGCGGCAGTATTACGAGGGCACCCGTGACTCAACATTCATGGACGAAGAATGTCGGTTGAGCCGCTACGGTTTCCGCTGATCTGACGCAGGGATACAGGGTTCAGCGCTATCGAGGCGATATTCCGTGTAATAGAAGAACAATCTCGGGCTACCTTTGACGAAGATGGGAAACTCGTTTCGTTCTACAACTGGACAGGAACGGCTGGTTCACTCTCTCCCCGCGTTCCCAACGGGGGCAACGGCGAGCCCAAGGGCTACAACGGTGCGTCTCGTGCAGGCACTCTCACTCTCGTCCCTGCGTCTCATCCTATTAGGTATGGTTGGCACGCACCATCGTCCCAGCGACGACCTGAGCACTTTTGGTCAGCAGCAGTCATGCCTGATTCCAATATGACCCCTGACCATCTGCTAGCGTTTCTAACACCCGCCAATGCGATGCTGAGCGTCGAGCTGGACGGCTTGGCCCACATGTTAAACTCAGTCGCACTTCGACCGGACCTCAGCTCCACTGCAAAACTCGTCGCAGGGCGAATACGAGATTCGATCTGGTCGAGAACAGTGCGTTTGCCGATCTCGTCATACACTAGATCGTTTAATATGCTAGGTCGTGGACGGGATATTTGCTTATGAAAGCAACGGTACCAGTGGGCTTGGCTCTTTCTTGTTCTGCTGACTTGACGCCCGATAGGTCTGGGCAGTGTTTACATGATGGACGATGCGAATGTGCCGGTGGGTGGTGCGGACTGGATCATGCGCTGACTAAACTAATAGTGCCAAGTCGCTGCTTTCCTTACCATATCTCGGATTTGTGGACAAGCACGATCCTACGTATAGATCAACACGCCGTTTCTTGCTATCGCGGCAAAATCCGTATTTTGCATCCGGATCCAACTTCTCAGGCATTGGGTACGTCCACCAACATCGGATCTACCGCAGCTGACTTTTGATAGCGGTCCGCATTCTGACGCATGGCACCCTTGGTCAGTTAAGCATTGAACGGGGCTTCTGTGTTGGACGTTGATGAGTGTGCCCTCCAGGCCCATGTCGCTGATCTCCGGTATCTTCGGGACCAATGACGACCAAGAGATATCCGAGATGCTTTATCTGATCGCGAATGTGGGCAACCCCCGGAGATGGTCCACTGCAGTTGATCTCATTCTCGTCAGAACACCGCTGGCCTCGGTCTGATCCACGAGTCGCAGTCGATCTACGACCAGTCTGATTACACAAGATCTTGGTTTGCATGGGTATGGTGTGACCACTGGGAAGCATTCTTCCAGATCTGATCTGTTCACGTAGGCAAATAGCTACTTTGCGGAGTAAGTGGACACGCTGAGAAGCGACCCTGAGATTGGTTGACTGCCACACCAGAATGATCCTCGATCTGGCGCACCGTAAGCCCCAACTGATCCTAAAAGGAAACGGGCCTTACATGCCGAGCCAAATCTGCTGAGAGAGTCAATAAACCCTCAGGCGGTCCGTCTGTCCAGCCCCTTCCAGCCTTTCCTTAGTCCCCTCGCCTCAATGATATGTGCAGGCATGCAGTACACAGGGTCGAGATCCACCAGCCCAGGGTACCCCAGAAGCGATAGTCCGGCGATGCCAAATTGCGTGTGGAAGACATCCACCATGTTGCCGGGCCGATCGGCGATTCCCCCGGATTCGTGGTCCTGTTCCAGAACTCATCGTGTGCTGCACATCTCCCGGGAAAACCCTACCTGCGCCGAGAGGATGAATGATATGAGCTTGTCTGCGTCTATCCACGAGACGCGTTTTAGAATAGCCAGGGCCGACAGAACCCAAAAACTGTAGCACACCTGTCGAAGATCAGTTGAAAGTCGATCGTTCTGATAACTCGTAAATACGACGCACGTCTTCTAGTTTCTCAGGCCTGCCGTTCAGACCACCGTTGGGGAGCTGCCTCTCAGCCATCCACCAAGACAAGGTTTCAGTGTCCACTTCGTCTAATCGATCCAATATCGTCAGAGCAGCAACGCACACAAACACTGCATGACATCAGTCCAGTCCCCTTCAAGATCGATCACTACCTACCTTGAGCAGCGTGGCTTTCTGCACCAATGGAGCTCCCGAAGCCGCCGTCAAAGTTTCGGCACTGCTTGATATAATCCACCGTCTTCTCCTTGTCCAGCTGGTCGATAGTGCCGAGCAGGGAGAGCGCGTTGACGGCGATGTACGAGAAGCGGGTATCTATCTCCCCAAACGAGTCCCCAGCAAACACTCCGGAGGGTTGCTGCAGAGATAAGATAACTGGGCAGACGATCAGTCTCATCAATCTCGTCGCGTTTGTTTCGAGAGAGGGCGCACAGTGCGTGACGCGCGCGACGTCCAGCCGGTCGAGAGCGTCGTACGTGACCAGGATCTGTATCGCGCTCAGCGTCGGGTGGATGTGCGCGTCGTGCCTTGGGTGAGCGCCGAACCCGCCTGTGTGCGAGCGCGATAGATTAATTGAGCCATTGATTGTGCGGTCGAGGCGAGTAGCGAGGTGAGTGCGGCAACGCACCAGCTGATTCATCCCAGCAGCTCATCACAAAATCGATCACCTCATCCTTATCTAGGGCATCCTCACTTCCTAGGACACACAGTGCGGTAAGGCCCCAGTAGATGGCACTCAAGCGCAAGTGCGCGGTGAGATGGTACATCAAGTCATCTGTGCTCTGTGTGCTGATAGCACCGTACGCTCGTAGACGCAACGCGACGTATGTACCTTGCCCAGGTTCTGTATATACGAGACGTGCAACGGCTTTAGAAGCTCGTCCGACATGGTGGTTTTGGGACAAGCCAGTGGGTGATTGATCGGAGGTGCACGATCACGTGCGTCGTGTGAGGCAACGCGGTCCACGCGATTATCTCATGTAGCTATTTGGAGCCAAGTCTCGTATATACACCAGGGAGAAGTCCAGTTTGAGCTGAGTTTTATCCGGAGATATCTCGCAGGAAGCCCGCTTGTGAAATGGCATTCCACGATCCCAGCGCCCGAAGCAAGACAATTTGGCGTGATGGGCGTCGTGGTCTTATGGGAAAATCAGCAGAAAGAGACGGGCTGGGAGATGTCTCACCCATTCCAATCCATTTTTTGATACAGACAAAGGTGTGCTCTGAATGGCAAGGGCCGTTGATGGATCGACCATCCAGACCCAGTCGACCATCGTGGAAACAACATCCAGATTATCCAGTAGGATCGAGTCACCCGCGCGAGCATCTAGCAAGTACAGCAATGTCATCAGAGACGGACATCATATCAGGCATCTTTCTGAATCGTACCCCCCGCGCTTCTGAAGAAAGTGGCCATGTCAGAATCCACAGCTTGAGAGAACGGCGAGATGTCGGATCCGGCAGCAGCAGACAACGACGTGAGCTCGGCTTCGCGCTTGAAAATGTCCTGGGCGAGCGGATATTTGGAAACCGTTTCTGGTAGCGATCGGATGGTGGTCTCAACCACGCATGTCCCGGTTTGACAGGGGGTGTGCACGAGTGTGCGGGGTTCTGGTGTCGTGAACGACAATGAGAAGTAGGGTCTCTCTGTGCGATTGGCCACCAAGGTGTCCAAATATCTGACCGCTCTATTCTGCGTCGACGTGATCACTGGGCGGGCAGGCAGCAGCCGGAAGGAAGCATACAATGTGATCTCGATTCCTGGCCTGGCCTTCTTCACCGACGGTAAAGGCACTCTCGTTCGACAAAGGGTGAGCGCTTCCAACCCATATCTCCGGCATCCGGTTCCGCAGGATCGTGTAATAGTTGTCCGCCATTTTCCGTTCCTCATCCGGCATCTGCAGATCGTCCATGAGCTGGAGAAAGGCCGCGGCGTGGCGCCTCAGAAGCATGCTCCCGTATCCCAGCCAAGAGAAGCCAAAGGTTGTAGGTGGTGACATGATAGAGAGCCATTGGCTTGACAGCCTTTCCTCGGGAGGGTTTAGAAAGATATCCTGGTCAGCTATGCGCGACCTGACAGCCCGTATGATTTCTGGCTTGACAATGTAGTCGTCATCCTAGCCTCTTTATGAGAACAACACAATGCGACTTAAGATAAAGAATCCACCTGGATAAAACAAAAGACCGTAGAAGCCTTTGAACAAGCGATGAATCGTGCTTGGAAATACAAGTTCTCCGGGGAGTTGTAAACTCTTAACTTCCGGGCCGGACACGGCGCGAATTCCTCTACCCCAACGGTGTGGTTGGGATTATTATTCCACACGAAGATCTCCTTGACGACATCGTCCAGCGACGGCCCGCACAACCCCGCAACAATCGTTTGTACATTGGTGAATCGCGCCCAGTTGAGTAGCACTACAGTGACGTCCGGCTCGCGAAGCGGTGCGCTATACGATGCGTATTTCCTGTATGATACCGCGCAGAAAGCTCCCAGGAGAGCACAAAGAGCGAGATTGAGCGTGTTGTGGGGTATAAAGCGAGACGACATGTCGCAATCAAAATGGTCCTCGATCGGGGCTCGGCAACGACAACTCCAAACACTGTCATTCTGAGCCCTTCCTCCTGCCAAGAACCTGGTCTCCGCAGTTCATGTCGTCCGTAGGGCGCGAAATAGGTACCCTGGTTGTAGTCGTTCTGAAAGCCGTACGCGATCCCACTGCTTCAGCCTGCAACTCTCGTCTGACGGTATAGCATTAGCAACATCTACCCAACAAAAGGTGTCCCTGATGTAATCGATCCACTCGCTGTCTGACTCAAGCCAGGAATATCGGAAAACAAGACCCATACTGCTCTGTCTCAGTGAATGGCGAGAAACAGCGCACTAAGGTTGTGAAACGCGGTGGACAGCATCCGGAATGGGACGAGGAGCTGCGGTTTACGATATACGAGGACGCCCCTCCATCCACAGGGCCCGATGGCGCCCCGCCTCCACTTCCGCCCAAGGGCGGCAAAAGAAACATCAAAGGGGGAGCCATCATGAAGCTTTCGTGTTTCGCGGATGACCCACGGGAGCCTGATCTCATCGGGCAAACCGATGTCGACTTGACGGAGGTGCTAACAAAGGGCGAAACAGATGGTTTGTTTCTTTGATATCTTGGTTTCTAAACTCACTCGACACGCAGAGTGGTTTGACCTATCCAATAAAGACAAATTCGCCGGGAAGGTGTACCTGGAGTTGACTTTCTGGTCCAACGTGCGTCATGTTCGGAAGACGGCTGTGATTCAGGACTGAATCCAAACTTAGGAACCTCCGCCGGAAAAGAAAGTGGCCCCAGCCGCTCGGGTCAACGGCGAGTACAGTGGGCCGGGATCGTTTGTTACAACGGACGATGTTCGGCGGCCGCCCGATCCCACGTTCTCGCCCAACCGAATCCCATCCATGAACGCGTCATACAATCACTCAGGGCGACAGTCTGATGCAGCATCATCAACCATGAGGCCAGCCACCTCTCTGGCGCAGGTCGATACTTACCGGTCACCCTATGAACAGCCTCCACCAGCTCATCGTGGTCGCGTCTCTTCGTTTACTGCAGTAACAAATGGACTTGCAGATATGGCAATTGGACCAGCAGGTCGACGACGAGAGAGTTTACCGGTCAGTGGATACTGATGTGATTCAATTGCGAGATCTAAGCCACTGCCTTAGCCTACTCATCACTCAACCATGTATACACCCAGGCACTCGTCTGCGACTTATCCTCCGCCGCAGCAAGGCTACGAACCCTCCGTGTACGAATCGTCGGTATACGAACCATCGGCTTACGCACGATCTACGTACGAGCAGCCGTACGAGCAGCAGCAGCCGTACGAACAGCGGCCTTACGAACAGCAGCCTTACGAACAGCAGCAGCCTTATGAACATCACCAGCAGTATGAGCTACAGCCGTCGTATGATCGCCCCAGAACACCCCCTGGACCACCGCACGAGGCACTGCCAAACCCATACGGATCTCAACCACCGCATCGACCGACATACGAAACAAATGTTGGTGCTGGCTATAGCACACCCCTTGCTCGCGGCCGATACAGTCTTCCGACGACATCATCCGGGTTCGTGCTGTCCAGCTCCAACAACGATGCCGGGTTCTCTCGGGCTCCTCCCCCGGCGAACTATTCTTCTCACATGACTCCGTCTGCATCGTATGGGCCAATTTCCTCCCAACCAACCGGCCAGTATCCGCCGTCGCTGCCACCTTCCGGTTCATTCCACGTCCAGCAGACCTTCCCACCCCAGGGCATTCCGCCGTCGCATTCATTCCCATACTCACAATTCCAAACGCCGCAAACAACAGGCTACAATGGAACGAATCATAGCCACGTCCCCAACAATGGGCATTCGTCTCCGGGGCATCCGTCTGCTGGCCACACATCTCCACCTAGCCCCGGGCCTCCGTTGAACTTATCTTCAGGGCCCGGATCACGGCCTCTCCCGCCACAGCCACAGTTGCATTCCGGACCCCCTCACGTGTCATATGGTTTGCCACAATCGGCGAGCCAGTCGTCGCTGGGACCTCCTCTTCCAGGAGCGTACAGTCCCACTCTACCCAGCAACGCGTCTTTCCATCAACTGCCGCCGCCACCGCCGCCGCCACCATTGCCGCAAAGCGGGACGTTCAACGATGGTCTGCCGTCTCCTCATCGCCAGTCAAGTCTTCCGCCACCGCCTTCATCGTACTTGCCGTTGCCACCGCCGCCACCACCACCACCGTTGGATTACGACTATCAGCCGCAGCCACAACCGCAGCCACAGCCATATTATCCCGGACCACCACCCCGACCGCCAGTGGCGTGGAATTACGAATAATGTCGTCGCATATATTCACTAGCCCTACTAATAGATCTGTCTCGTAAAAATGAAACAATGTCTCTGACACACACGCGCGCACCTTGTTCTCCTCTTTCCATTTTCGCAACGCCGTCTCAGTAGGGATGATGCCCTGTCGCGCGAGGTCCAACCGCGCCCGGTTGCGGATCTCGTTCTCCTCGTGCCGTCGCACGGCTTCGAACTCCTGCAGCGCAGCCTCTGCACTGATGACCATGCCGAAGAGCGTTGAGGTGCATACGAGAAACCCTGTGCGTGTGTGAGTCGCAGGTGACGCAATAGATAGTCTAGAAGTGGAACCTTTGAATGGGAATGTCTGGCGTCTAGAGTTGATGGGAGTGAGTTCATTTGTGCTATCCCCGTCCGCTCCTCTGTCCCACACACCTGAACCAGGGCCAAGAGTAGTGTGCGATGATCGTCAGTCCCAAACCCGTCGACAGACCGCGGAAGGCACCCTAAAAAGCGATGTATCATAAGAACCCCCAGGTGCGAGTCTGGGAAGCCGCGGACCTGAAGACCGGATTTGATCTGGAGCGTATACGCCTGTTCGACGTCGTCTCTCGTTCGAGAGCTCATCTTTCCCTGCTCACTGCTCAAGCATGCACGGTCGGAAGGGAGAAGCAGAAAATGGCGATCACACACGACATCGTGATGACGTAGAACTACACAAAGTTATCTAATCTTATCGGAATAAGCTACATGGCGCTGATCACACGGAATTGCTTGTGCTCTGAACATGCGACGAAGCGCGACGATGAATGGATGAACACCTGCACGATTTTCTGGCCCTCGAAACACTTGATCTGCGTAGTTTCATACATGTTAGTATAAGTTTCGGCAAGATAGAAGACCCGCTCGTCGCTCACCGTCTCTCGAGGTTCATCCGGCCGACGCAGGTCCCAGACACGAACCACGCCGTCCCGACTGCCGGACACGAAACAATTCTCGAGCGATGCACTTTTCGCATAGCGCCCTGCGAGCTGAGTTTCAGTGTGTCCGAATCGCTGCACCGGAACGCTCGGAACGCAGCGGTGATCGCGGACTTCGAATTGGAGCTCGCGGTGTGCGACCTGGATAGCCTCATGAATATATGCCGGTCGAATAACGCGGCTACTGGCCTCTAGCAACGTGCAGAATGAGGAGAGGGTCCTGTGAGCGTGGTACACCGAATTCGATGTCTTGAGCGTGTGAGCCACCCTCTCAGAGGACAGATCCCAGAAATTCACGCTGCATGCGGGTTGGAGAAGCAGTCCCCATCACATGCTATACACACCTGCAATCGGCGCTGGCAGACACCAGCTTGTGGCTGGTGTCCTGAATGGCAAGCAATGACTGGATCTGCGAAGTGTGTTTCATGTTCAGGACCTGCGGCGCCGCTGAAGCAAAATCTCGAGTCGCCGTCCACAAATGGACCATGTGATCATATCCGCCAGTGGCGAACATGCGAGGGGCCATCATGTGAGCCACCGCACTCACGCCACCCTTCTTGGAAGACGACCATGGACGATTGAGATGCGCCACCTCGGCCTGGACAAACATCAACACATATTATTGGCGACCGGGCAATATACTCACCATGCGCCCCGATTGGTCGAAACGCACGAGCGAAAGTTGCTTGACGTCTCGATTATGTCCGAGCACAACAGCGGCCCGGCCCGCCTGCTCCAGCAGACATGCATCATCGACAACATCTCGACTCGGGGAAGGCACCTGAGCGACTTGAAAATGTCTGGGAGATCGATAAAGAGAGTCTGTGAAAAGTAAAAACACCGAATCGCACCCACCTTCTCGTCACCGGATCTACACGTTCCAGAGTTCCATACATCGACACCACGACGGGCAAAGAACTCGTGGCCGACCCGCACAGATACCGCCGTAGTTTGTCGTACTGCTGGCGGGCCGGAATCCGAAACTCCGCTCCCTCAGTGCTGTAGGTGGGCACGACCGTGGCAGCCGCTATGGACGGAATCACAAGTTTGTCTCCGTCGTCGTCGTCGCGAACATTCGGCCCGGGATAGGGATCTGGATCTATCTCAGGCAGATCCGAAGATGAGGATGCGATCGACAACGGCTGCAGAAATTCCGGAGTTGCAGTCCGCCGGTGAGATGAGGAGTGGACCCTTGGTCTTGGAGATCTTCGCGCCGATTCCTGATCCACGACAAGAATCTCGGAAGATGAACTACGAGGAACGTTGTCTGGAACGGCCACTTGTTTGCGCGTGGATTCGCCCGGGGAGATCAAATCCGACAGCTTGAATACAAGTCTACCGGAGCTGAAACACCGAAACGACGACGCAGCTGGCAGGGGAGGAAGGGACTCCAAACGCGGCGCCAGTTCCTTCGCCCATGCACTTTCGTCCTGGAGCAACTTGTAAAGAAATATGATCACGGTGGACTTGATAGAGATACAGCACTTTTTCAGCATGTCTCGCCTCTCGTACAGGATCTGGCAAGGGGGCGAGTGAACAGTTGATGAGATCATCTTGTTCGCAGGAGAACACGACGTGGTCGCCCGCCACCGTATATCCCACGACCTGCAGTCCCAGACCCGACTTTTTTAGACTTTCGATCTCGCGTGCAAGGAATTGCTTGCGTTCACGATGACAGCCAGGCACTCCTTTCCTACACGCCTGGGGCAGTGTCTTGATGATTTCTTTCTGCCGAAGGTTGTTCAGACGGCGCCGTTTTACGGGTGAACTCGGTGTCAGTGCGTCAGGGCGCCGCTTAGACGACCCAGGTACGGAGAAGCGAGTGTCAAGGTTGGACTGGAACAGTGAACGGGAAGTGCGGATTGACGGTATTGTATTGTGTATGTGGCTCCTGCCCCGCAGATCATTGGGTTGTGCATCCTCTACGCTCATGGGGTTAAAGGACGAAGCAGACAGTGGCTGTGTTTACTGATCAGAATGTAAATAAATACATGGCATTATCTATCTACTTGGAGACACTTCCCAGTTCGACGGCGAACGCAACGGCAAGCTTCGAGAACTCTTTCATGTGTGAGAAGCTGAATTCATCGGAAACATCAATGCGGCTGCAACTCGGTCAAAAGAAAGCCGGATGGAGAAAAAATGTCTCACTCGTTCAGTGAGTGGATATTCTTGTTCGAGTTGGGGAAGCTGCTTTCTGTGGGAAGCGTCAGTCGCACGAAGATGTGACGCGTGCAGAGTCACTCACCAATCGTGAAAGAGCTGGGGTATCCGGCTTTGGCCCAAGAAGCGCTAGAACAAGATAAGGATAGTGACACCAACATAAATCAGGACAGACTGGTCACTGCAAGCGTAGCCACACTCGGTCTGAAAGGCGATTGACGTTCATGTTTCGGACCCTGTAGAAATGCACTCACGCCGACCCAAGGAATGTCGAGATAGAGTTCAACGAGTTGTTTGTTGAATTCAGTGACCCTTGAAGCAGGAATAGATGAGACGGAGATCGTAAAACACCAACAAACCACAAACCCAGAATCAACAAAGTCCGTGATAATGCCAACTTCCTCGCGGGTTCCGGCCTGGCTCAGAATTAGGCTTGCGAACGTCGCAGACAGCCTGACATACCTTGACCCAAGCTGTCATGTCGAACTAGACCCCAGTCAGCTGGCGTGCGAGCATTCGGCCATGGAAATCTAACCTGACTCATGGCGAGAACATTGACACCCTTCTGCTGATACGATTGAGCTACAGCTTGAGATCCTAGAAGACCGCCCTCCTATGTGTTGTATTAATGATCGCGCCGACGCAATCTTCCAAGACTGCAGTACTGACCTCCGCAGAGTACCAGTGAAACTCTGAAGGGACCTGTTTCAGCGAAGAACGGGCATTGCAGCACGCACATACCAATGGCACGCTTCGGATGAAAGTCGGCAGCAAGAAGAGCGCGGTAGCTCTCAAGAATCGTCACAGAACCAGAGCCATCATCTGCGGCAGTTAATATCGATCACGGGAGCCAGAAAGAACCGACCGTCAGCGCCAGGGGCAGGAAGGAAAGGCCAAAGGTTGCTGTCATGAAATGAGATAATGCACGGAGGTTCAACAAGCCACCAACGTGCTATCCTGATGAGCACCGATGATGATAACCGCATCGTCGCTTGTGGAGGAGCCGTTGATTCTGGCAATCTGTCGCGCATATTCATTGCCTCGCGAAGCACTGCTCAGGGCGAACACATACAACAGAGTGCTGACCCCAGCTATGCGAGAATTCGGAGACTGAGATGAGATCTTGGAGGGACTTGGAGCCCCACTTGGAAGTGGTCTGGAGCGCGTGAGCGATAATACAAGAGCCACATGGTTCCACATTGACACACCTCTTTGATCTTCTCCTTGAGCCACTGCTGGCTCTGCTTTCCTGTCTACCACGCAGTGAGAAACCAGACATTCAGAAGATGGAATGAATTTTACGTCACTGCGGTAGTCTAGAAGCGAGTAAGAAGCGGCGAAGTGAAGAGAAATGAACAAGGCGGCCTACATCTCGTGCGGAAACCAGTGAATGTGCGGAGATTCTCTTCAGGGCCCTCGGTAGAGAGCTTCTTGATAATCGGCCAGACCTATTGCAGCGACGTGAGACCCGCTACAATCTGTGAACAGCAAAGCCGACCTTCTCAGTGGCGTTAGGTGCGGGAAAAGAAGCTGGAGAATTGACATGCTGTAGCCTCCGGATTATTGGGGGTAGAGATAAATGCTCCCACCTTGAGTTTGGAATCTATTCCCGGCGGTCAAGTGCTCCGTGTCAGTTCTAAAACCCAAGTTAGTTTGGCTGCCGGATTTTGTGCTGTTGAATAGAGCACATGTCGAAGAACTTGATGCCTCGTGCTTTCGCTTGGATCTGAACATTGCGTTAGGCGAAAGTGACCAAGGAGCATATAATAGAACGAGGGGCTTTCCTTTTCCAGCTCGGACATCCATACCGGAGGTTGGCCTTCCATTTCGACGAGACGTTTGGCACTAAGATCAAATCCGGGGAAGTCTGGGTGCTGGTAATCATGGTCGAAGATGAATGGCGTCTGGTCCTCAGTGAGAGGCACGGCTAGAGCAGCACAGGCACAAGCGAGGGCGATGAGGGAGGTCTTCATCATGGTAGAGAACAAGGAACAACCGCGTCAGCGCAACTGACTGATTCGCGACACGCGCATCACGCGGTGATTGCTCGCTTCTATCCCGATTGCTCGCCTCCATCTCGATTACGAAAGGGCTAATCGTCAGCGAGAGACAGGAACTTTTGGATGCGCCGCCAGCAGCGGAAAGGCGATCAAGCGCCCTCAACTGCATGCGTTTTGTTTACGAGGATAGATCTATACTGAGTGCAAGTTTCGAGGGTCAAACTAAGAGCAGAGCGCGTGCCGTGGCCTGCATCTGTGAAATCCAACTTGTATCCATGTGCGCCCATCGATTCTCTTCCAAAATTGACGAGGTCATGAATTGGCGCTGATGCAAGCTTTTCTTCGGTGCTTGGAGTCACAGACAGAGATCTGGACGTATATTAGCCAAGTCTGCTGCCAGAAATCTACAGTATGTCTCAGTCTAACCTTAACCTTGGTGCTATGTCCACTCACCTCACGTGACCGTGAGGTGGCAATGTCGAAAGTCGTCGATCAAAACGAATTTCAACTCTTTTCGTCGACGCCGAACGCAGAACACTTTCTGGAAGCATGTCTAAAGCAGCGTTGAAAGGTCGAGCGCAACTAGTGGCACGTCCAATCTTCTCTCAATGCGTCGCTTTAACCTCTAATGTATCACCTAGAGACTGCTCATTCCGGCGGGCAAGGCAGCTCCCACTCCGCCTGTCGGTCCCGCACTCGGTGCTCGCGGTGTCAAGTCAATGGACTTCTGCAAGGAATTCAACGCCAAGACGGCTCATGTCGAACCTGGTGTACCAATACCAACAATGATCACGGTTCAGCCCGACCGCACCTTCACCTTCGTCACCAAATCGCCACCCTCCTCATATTTTCTCAAGAAAGCCGCCGGTATAACTAAAGGCGCGGGGAAGCCTGGGCAGGAGACCACCGGAACGATAAGTCTCAAACACGTGTACGAAATTGCGAAAATCAAAGCCTCGGATGAACATATGCAACATATCCCATTGGAGTCGGTGGCGAGGATGATAGTGGGGAGTGCACGATCACTCGGAGTGCAGGTTGTACCATGATGATGCCCGAGGCGCGTATTCTGCCGGATATAATCGCAGTGTGGTTATTGACGTAGTGGCCACAAGACTGTGTGAAGGAATCGATGGCGTGTTCCCATGCCTGTTTTGCGTTTGCATCAGCTGGGCCCAGATCCATGGCTCATATCCCGATACCCGAGTTAGAGTCCGGCGTAATGAAATCACCCTTCCTAATCTGATGCGAGATCGTGCGCACTGGCCGACCTCGCCACCTTGCAGCGCCAAAGTTGCTGTTTACGACTTTGTTTCCGTTAGCGGGTTCCTAAGATTCCTTTTTAGTCCTTCATATCACTTGCTTGGACCGGCAAGCTTGGATGTGGGCTGGGCTGCTTGTGGTTCCGCCGTTGGGCTTCGGGCTGATATCACGACTGCATCGACACGCCTCAGATGCATGCAAACTCCTGTGAATCCCCGGATGCTGGGCACGCTTCCGATCGCACGAGCCAGACTGCTGCTTCCCAGCTGCCTAATCCGTTAAGCCTCGTGGGGTCCGTAGATCAGATTCGAACACAACTATATGTGCCCAACAAATGTTTTCTGCGTGTCCTCTTGCTCTGGTCTGGATGTCAAAGGCAAATCTCGGGGTCTGCCGCAACATATTCCTCTCGCTTCTCGGCGGCTGGTGATGTTCCTCGACCGTGCTTCGATCGAATGGCATGTCCTGCGCCTTGTATTTGTCCAGGGCTGACAGCAGGCCCTTCAAAAATGTTCCTCCCCGCCATGCTTTATCTATCGCCAACACGTTTCCGATCGGGCCACTGAGCCGTTCTTGCAAGACATGTAGATCTCCAAATCGCACTGGTTCTGCTATAAAATGGACTCCAAAACCATGGGGAGTGGACCCATCCACTCCTCGTCTCTGCATACACCCACTCCTCCAGCCCACCGGTGATGACTTCTACTTCGAACGATGTCCTCTCTTGGACCAACCAGGATCCTCGCGAAAGCATCCTCTTCAATTCCTGGGGTGTCATCTACCGCTTCTCGGTTCGTCGCTTCTTTGTTCGTGGCCCGGCCTCCATTGACCGTGCGAGCAGACCGTGGTCAGCGCGACCGGCCAGAGCGTGACCACTCTCTATCGCACGATCCGGCCCAACAAAGAAGACCGGGTCGCGAAGCTCGAATGGGCGCAGAACGGTGGTCTTGGCCGGGTCGTCATCGGCAAGGCAAGCCGCCCTGCTACTAGGCTCGCTCACCATTGACACCGCTCTCCAGAACACCCTCCCCATGGCTGACCTCGTCCGAGCGGATCCGCGCATACAAGTGTGTGGTCATCGTCTACGATTCCCCTTCCCCGTCTGACCTGCCGCAGGACTCGCGAGTGTTTTATGGGCCGGATGGACTGCAGTATCGTTGGCGGCCCAGCTCGAACAACACCGACATCGTGGTACGTCCGACGGCTCTTTCGGGGCAAGTGGCGTGGCTCATGCGTTCGCAGCTGCAAGACCATAACGGAGTCATCGTCGCATTCTTCAGGCCAATGCGTCTGACTCGGTACCAAATCGGGGATGTGTACGGCGAGCTACATTTCATTCGCACCGCGGGATCTGGGACGGTGGTGCGTCCGAAGCCCTCTTTCTCCGTCCCCGAGCTGACTTTTTGCCAAGACGCATCCACCGATCATGGACATGGTGACTGTCACCGCGATGCTCTATCGGTTTTGCGCAGCGTGGAACTTGCAGTGAAGGATGAGGGGACCTCGGGCTTGTATTTTATTCCAAACACTGTACATGTAAATCAGTAATCTCCAACTCGTGTCATGATTATCCGAATTCATTGGAAATTCAAACTACAAGCAGCCAGTCTCTGTTTGCGCCCAGCCTCGCCATCTTGATGAAACAGGCCACGATGCAATCTGATGAAAGCGAATATCTTGACCTTAACTCTAATTCATAGAAATATCGAGGGGGGACACACCGCTCTTCACAATTTCACCCGGACCTCTTCCTGTTCCGCCTTTAGTACGTCCACAATCTCATCAACTGTCCGGATAACCCATTCCGCGCCCTCGTCGCTGGCGAGCCAAGCATCTTCGGCCGACTGATCCTCGATAGTTCTCGCCTTAAGCAGCCCGAACACATGGCTCGTCAGCTGAGGAATCACTCGCTCTTCCGCCCGCAAGCAAGCCACCCCAACCACCGTACCCATAACCCGGCTAAGGTTGCCTTGATCCGGATCAACCGCGCTGCTAATGTCCGAGAACGACTTGGTTTTTCCCGGCAACGGAGAGAGCACGGTGCCGTAACTCTGGATAATGAACGCTGGGAGTAAATGAGCAATCGGGGAGCAGAAAGGACCGCAATCGGGATCAGATTGGCAAAAGGGAAAGGCGCGCTCTCAGGCATGCCACATGTGGCTGACACGTGGTTCTCTCGGAAAGATCAAGGCTCACAAATAAAGTCCGGATGGTATAAGCCCAGCTTGTCGTGGAGTTTTTCGGCATGCGGAGAATATATAGAACTCCACAACGCCCTTCCCCGCTCGACGGTTGATTCGGCGGCCTCGGGCTTCGCGTCTCTAGTATAAATAAATCATCATCAGCAGTTGCGGGCAAAAGATGAACAGCCCGAGAAAGTGTTCCCACCGGCGAGAGATGGTTCTGAGCGCGTCCCTCACTTCGGGCTCCAGTGCATCATGTAATGCAGCGAACGAAAGGATGACCTGCTCTGAGTCGAACACATGAAGGTCCAATAAGCGTGTCACGCACTCTGGGAACTCCGATGAAGATGACGCTCTTCAAGATCGCCTCGCGAGCTAGAGCCGCTCTGTTGACGGCTTCTTGCAGGGGGGTTTGACTTGGTCGAATGAACTGATAGAGTTGTGACATTGAAGCAGGTCGATTGGTCGTAGCCAAACTGCAGGCCTAGGAACAGTTCCGTAAACACCAAGCGTGGGTGTATGCTGGGCGCGTGAACGTTACCGTCAGCACGAGCCAAGCAGTTTCAGCATGGCGCTTTCTAGCGTCCTGGTAGGTCTTGGTCAAGACTGACTGCAATTTCGCGACTGGCGGTCCGGGAAGAGGATGTGGATTGCGCAGAGTCAACAGATGCTTGATTGCGGGAGGGAGATGCTTGACCATAGTGCACGCAGTGTTCCAAGACTGCCAGGACGCGTTTGAGTTGACTTGTAATGACGGTTGTCAGTACAACGAGTGTTGTTCGAGATGGTGATGGAGAGCGGTCATAGCTCCCACGGGGCGGACCGGAGACCTATTTCCAGGCAGGCCAATATATCTAACAAGCATTCATTCATTGCTAGTGCTCTACACTGCTATACAAAAGTAGTGACTAATGGCCCACTGGGCCGCACGATTGAATGGCCACAGCTGCACAACAGTTGTGGCACGTATGAGTGGCAAGGCTAGCTTGCCATTGGTATCGAGACAGGATCACGGCGATCGTAGATATCTTGGGCAATCTAGTTGTTGATAAACCAGTTTCCGAGGGCGTTGGGACCGGATCCGTCTGTCGGGCCTGATGAGCGAGCATTTATTGCAGAGGACAGGCACGAACCAGAAACCATCAACGTGTTGAGAGTGTTGACGTTGGTCATATCCTTCATCGCACCGAACCAGCAGTGGGCATGGATCCAGTCGTTCTCATTGGCGAACTGAGTCGCCGCCTGCAAGAACGCCCAGATCTGGCCCATATCCGCCTGAGGCCCGTTGTTGAAGTCCTACATTAAAAGTTAACGCAACGACAGGGAACAAAAAGCATAACACTTACTTGGTCCGCATACTCGGTGATGTAAACCGGCAAGTTGTACGTGGTGTGCCAGTAGGTCACGTAGTTCTTGAAATCTTCGATGTCCGTCCCGTAGTAATGGACGGCGATACCTCCGACCTACGATGCTTCTAAGATCGAAACAATTTGAGACGCCAAAAAACGAACCTTGCAATCACCACAGTTGTCGAAGAAAGTCTTCATCCAAACCTTGCCGTTCGGGTTGGAAGACGTCGCACACGAAATGAGCGTGTAGCCCTCGTTGGCAAGCGGGAGCATGTACTGCTGCCAGAGAGAAATGCCACTGTAAGGGTCCATGTTACTCTGGCCAGCTTCGTTCGGCCTGTAGAGTCATCAGAGATGCGATTATGTAGCCGAGAAGCGCGGCCTTACTCGTTGCAACCAAGGGCAATGTTAGAATAGCCTTTGACAGCCTTGGCCTTGAAGTCTTCCGCGTTTTTCCAACCCCAGAGCATGGGCGCGTAAGTCAAACCGAGCTCTTCAGCGCCCGGGACTTTCGTGGCATCCCAGCTGTAGATCCTAGAGCAAAATGTCAAAAAACTACGGAATCAATAACTGCCAAGACTCACAAGCCAACAGTGCTGCCGATCCAGGGTGCGAGAGGGTTGAAGTTGGAGTTGGGCCAAGCAAGACAAGCTTTGCCACGAAGACCGCTTCCGCCAGTGCTCTTGCCGGGCGCCTGGGTAGCAACAGCTTGCTTAGAAGTCGTGGGAGACGGAGGCGGCTTCGCAGTGGTGGGAGCCGCGTGCGTAGTGGTCGTCGTAGGAGCCGCATGCGTCGTAGTCGTAGTAGGAGCCGCATGTGTCGTGGTGGTAGCATATGTCGACGTCGAAGTCTCCGTCGAACTGGTCGAAGTCTGGGTGGAGGAACTGTGCAGAGAGGACGACTTGGGCTTGCAGCGACTGGCGTTAGTCCGCTTGCGCACACCGCTGTGTTTGTGTTGAGCGATGGCATGGTGGCTCCTGACCACATGAGGAGGTTCAAGAGCGATTGCGTTAACAGGAGTGATCGTCGAGACTGAGAGCAAGCCGGCCACAACAAGTGTGACCGCGGTGAGGAAGCGAGTGGGAGCCATCTGAGGGTATAGAAAAGAGTGTCGGGGCCAAGTGAATGGCGATGGTGGTGGTTGAAGGGAAGAAGGGTTGGGAAAAGATTAAACTCAACGGCATCATCATTTTGACGACTGAGCAATCAAATCTCCACTCAATTTACGTGCCCGCTCCAAATCTAGACATAAGCTCGAAAAAAGAAACCTCCTGTAGAGAGAACGATATTGCACCAAATTTCTGCTCTTCTGTGTTGGTGAAGAGTATGTAGCACTCGGTCCCGAACGTTGAATCTAGTCGAAAACGAGGCCAACTACCATGGAAACCGCGTGATGATGCAAACAGGACAAATAAAATGCAGGTGCCATCACACGACAGACGATTCTCTAACCCTCAAGTTTCTTTCACCAAACCGGTTCAAGAGTTCATCGACATCGTTCATCCCACTCTCAAGCACACAGTTCATCCTCATCATGTCCGAAGCCCCTGCCGCCGTGGTCCCCGAAACTGGCGCGCCCGTCACGCAAGAAAAGGTCGAAGTCCCTGGCTTTAAGGTACATCCATCGCTCTCAGTCCTTCGTCACCTGTTCTTATTCCTTGCCCTCTGCAGGTCTTCGCAGGCAACCTTGCGTATTCTACTTCGGATGAGGGGCTGAAGGCTTTCTTTGCCCCCGTGCAGAGCGACGTGTACGTGTCGCCACGCGCACAGCATTTGCTGGCAGCCGGTGTACTCGTGTTGATCTGTGTGTAGTCTTTCCGTGCAAGTCATCCAGAGGGGCACCCGCTCCGCTGGCTATGGCTTCGTCGCTCTCTCGACTGCAGAGGCCGCTCAAAAGGCTGTCGAGCTCCTAGACAAGAAGGAGCTCGATGGCCGTCAGGTCATCATCGAGGTCGCAAAGCCCGCCGATCAAAAGGACCAAGAGAAGAAAGAGAAGAAGGCCAAGAGGAGATCCGGCAGGCGTGGCAGCAAGGCTGTTCCCGGTGAAGTCTCCGAGGCTGAGGCGAACGGCGAAGCGGCTCCCAAGACTGATGAGCCTGCTGAGGCCACCGAGACGGGTGATGCGGCTAAGCCTAAGAAGAAGAAGAAGAAGTCTGCTGTGTGTTTTCTTTTATCTTTTCTCTTGTCCCTGCTCATGTTTCCGATTCAATCAGCGTAAGCCCAAGGCAAAGGAAGGCGAGACGACTGATGCTCCTGCTGACGCCACCGCCACGGATGCTGATGCTGCTGCTGCTTCCGGTGCTGCAAAGAAGGCTCCTCGTCAGAAGAAGCCCAAGGTACCCCGTCCTGTCCGTGCCGCTGGCGAAGATCCTGTTGGCGAGCCCTCGAAGACCGTGCTCTTCGTGGCAAACCTTGGCTTCAACATTGATGACGCTGGTCTCTCCGCCCTCTTCACTGAGGCCGGCATCGCTGTTATCTCTGCTCGCATCGTTCGTCGCCGCTGGGGTCAGCCCAGGAAGAGCAAGGGCTACGGATTCGTCGACGTCGGTGGTGAAGCGGAACAGAAGAAGGCTATTGAAGCCCTTCAGGGCAAAGAGCTCGGTGGTCGTGCTATCGCCGTCAAGATCGCTGTCAACACTCCCCATGATGACGACGAGGCTGAGGCTGAGGCCGCCCCTGCCGCCCCTGCCGCCTCTGCTGCCCCCGCCCCTGCTGAAGTTGTCCCCGCCCCTGCTGCGTAATGATTATGCTCTGCCTTAAACGCGTCCCCTTCCATGTTCGTTCATGCTTGTTACCGCTTTCATGTTATAGTGGGTTGTCGATATTTGACCACACTAACGTCTTCCCTTTTAACTTGTGATCCCTACTCAGTACTCAGTGACCACACTTAACATATCGTTAGTCAGTCGCGATCTTTCTGTTTTCCCGTACTTGAACAGAACGTCGATGATTTTCTCTCCGTGACTATGCCCGATGATGTGATTGCATTCCCGATCAAGATGTCTGCTTCAGACGACGATGACTACTTGGCCGACCTGGACAAATTCCTTGTCCCACCGCCCGCTTCGAAATCAAGCTCGACGACCTACTCTCAGCGTCGCAAGGAGGCAGAGAAGCGATCCGCCGCCAAAAATGAGCGAAACCGAATGAAAGGTCGACGTCAACGTGAACTCGAATCTCGTACAGAGGGACTGAGCAAGAGTCTATTCGAGCGTGCCAAAGAGGAAGAAGAGGCTGGGCTGACAGCAAACAGCAAAGCGCTCTCCATGATGATGAAGATGGGTTTCAAACCTGGGCAAGCCCTGGGTCAACAGATCGACGTGCCGCCGTCTCCCACTTCTTCGAGCGTTGCTGCAGGCTCGTCTGCACCTACGCCCGCTACAGGCAGTTCCTCTGGCCACAAATCTGAGCCACTGAAAATCAAAGAATGGGCAGGTCAGATTCAGTTCGACTCGGTATGCGGTCAACAATGACACCATGGCTGTAGGCAAGAAGGGTATCGGACTGGGGCAGAAGCGGCCACCATCTCCCTTGTCTGCAGAGCGCATGGCGAAAATGGCGAAAATGGCAGAAGCGAGCGATCACAGTGACTTCCGAGATCGCGCGCGTAGAGAATATGAAGAAAGACGTGCTGAAGGTCGCCTGGGTGCGTTCTACATTCTGAAACTCCTGAACACGGGACATGTATGTTGAAGCATGTTCTTAGGACCGGCCCAACGAACATGTGTAACTCTAGACGATAAAATGGGGAAGACGGTAAGTGCCTTGAAGCGCGATCACCACTGACTTCACTGAATCCGACCTGCAGTTCAATGTGCTATGGCTTGACCCTCGTAACCCTGGCTCGTTTCCGTCTGGGCTTCTGGAAGCCTTGGAGTTGAATACTACGCCTCCTATTTCCGGAGGAGAGCAACAAGACGGTGATGACGAAGGACCGCTTTGTTGCAGCGAAACAACGCGAGCTGCGGAAGCTCGATTGAGGCGGAAGATGGCAGCTGAATCATTGCAGCCGCTGGCCGCACTAGAAGACGATGTGGACCCGACTGCCTCTGAGCCGATTCAATTTTCGCCTGAACAGTTGGCGGAAGCGGCACAGTTTCTTCGTCTACAAGTAAGCAGTGTATAGTGGTCTGACGTGGGTCCTGATTTGTCCTTTGCAGGCATCCGACCGCCTGAACATCGTTCTTTCTTATCTTCGCAGCAGCTACTCGTATTGCTTCTGGTGCGGATGCCAATACGAGAATGCGGAGGATTTGGCCGGCTCGTGCCCAGGGGAGGACGAGGACGCACACGATTGATGGTCAGAGCAACAGGCCAAAGCGATGGTATAAACGGGAGCAAGGATATAAGATGATACGACAGTGAGTGTGAGTGAGTGAGTGCTAGAGATTGTCCAGCGATGCTTATAATACAGCTACAAGTACAAGTGATGGATGCCCTGGAATTCAAGAGTTTCTTCATCAAGCTGTTTGCACCTGTCGTCGATCAATTGGGGGTGAGGAGAGACGGACTCCGGTGTGGTAAATTCGATGCGCATGCACGCTAGCCGAGTGCACCTCAGGGAGGACTTTGGCCATGGAAGCCGGCGAGCTGCCAGTCAACGATTCGACGTTGGGATTGGGTGTGATGGGGAACGACTCGACACTGGCAGAATGAGGGAAGAATGAGGGCAGAGTCGGCAACGTGAGAGGCCCCGTTGATGCTGCCACAGGCGAACTTGACGTGGCGCGGGAAAAAGTAGGCGACGTCGGTGAAGCGCCTGGCGTTTTACGGCGCACATAGGTCGAGATCGGCGTGTTGGCTGGCAGGTCGCAATTCGAATCGTAGACATTCACAGTAAGAGTTCCCCGGAGTCGTCGTGAGCGAGGCGAGGACGGCGAATGGGGTGAGGTCGAGCCGGGCTGTTAACTGCATAAGCCTGTTATTCATCTGTGCTGGAAGGCGACATACACGGCGCTCGTGCTCTGACGACGAAGACGACGAGCTACTGCCCCGCCGCCGAGACGCCGGAAACACGGGCGAATACGGAGAATATCTCGCGCGTCGGTTTTGTGAGATTCCATAGTCGCGAGGAGGAGGGGGACTAGAGCATGACCGATCCGGAGAGGGCGGGGTGATGTTCGGCATTGAAGGTGAAGAGTGTGGGGATGATAAAGAATGAGACTCTGCAGTCTGCTCCAAGCCCAGAGAAGACATGAGCTCGACGAAGGAAGGGAGTGTGGTGGCCATGGGCTCGAAAATTAGGCGGAGAAGGGCATGTAAACAAGAAGGCGGTCCTTGAGGAGACCGTGTCCCTCTCGACCATATATAACGGCTTGTCCCTGGAAACGCCCCCACGTCCAGTTGCTAAGAAGATCGTCCACAATTATCATCGCGTTGAGGACACGTCCGGAACAGAACATCTGCAACTTGTCGGCAGGGCGATGGTCTGATACAAGTTGATCCCCCGCTTAGCTTTCCTAGGGTCTGGCTGGGTACCTGCATGAAAAGGTCCGACCGCTCCTCAGACGTCGGGTGCACCGGTGACTTGACACAATATTGTCTCCGAATTTTTTTAGCCGGCTATGCGGCGCTGTGCGACGTATGATGTTTGGACAATGTGGCTTGCTCTGGCTTCCTCCAGCGTGATTATATACTGCCGACGGAGGTAATCCACAAGACGCGGACCGATGAGGCGCTGTCAAGTCGCATCTCACGGTACTGTCTATGGAGATACTTACTCGAAATGGTTTCAGAGACTACAGTTGCCACAGCCCCATCCTGTACCATAATAATGATACAGTAGCCCATATGCGCGTTTATGCCGTCAAACGTCAGACGCCGCGCTCAAACAGATTGCACGGAGCTCGAAGCCAGGGTTTCAGCTCGAGAATACAAGAGTAGCAGTTCCTTTTTTACGGACACGTGATCGCATTGGGATTTGATCATGAACTCCCAACAAGACGCAGGTCCTGCAGCAGGCACCCGTTACGGTACTTCGTTCTCGCAACCGCCAAAGGAGATCATGGAATACAGCTGCGCGGGTTTGTGGAGACCTAGTGACTGTCGCTCGTTTGATGACATGGGCAGATTGTGGGGCTACCAACGAGATCAAAGCCCGGGAACCTATACGGTGTCGCGAATGTGGGCATCGCATAATGTATAAGAAAAGGACGAAACGAAGTGCGTGCACCATGCTTCGTGCTTCTCAAGAAACACATTGTTGCTCACGATTTTTGGCACCAGTGGTACAATTTGAAGCACGGTAACCACCGCTCGCGGAGGCTGCGCGTAGCGCCCATCTCAGGTTATCTGTATCATAGGGATTCATAGCACAATCGCTGGCATTGATCATGTCTCGAATTACATCTCATGTCACCAGAGCCCCAAGTGTCTAACCCACAAGTTCAGCACACATGTCACAACCATCCGATCCAACACCTGTTCAGCCGAGGCCGTCACGCGCAACGTCGTCTCTTTGTCTGTCCAGGTCGCCACGGTCTTCTTGCTACTTGCTTCGACGCACTGCCAATGGTGATGGGTCACCACGCGCTCACTGCAGGCGGAAACCTCGCACGTATAGATCGTCCCCCTCCGCGATCTTCCACTTGTATTCCACACCACCTGCTTTGAACCTGCGAGATCTGTGATATGGACATCAGCTTCTGTCTCCGGGCACTCCGGGCGGGCCCCTTAACTGGCTGGTCGACTTTTTCATTTTTCTCAGGTCCTTCAGGGAGATCTGCGCAAATTCCGGCATGTATCACACAAAGACGCAATTTCACATGCCTCATGAATCCCGAAATGAACCGTCGCAGTCGTGTCTCCTGGTCAAGTCAGAGTCCGAGTGCTGACACTTACAGTCATCCGACCTTGCCAGGCGATCTCCCCCGCTGGTTCAAAGACCGAGGTTGCGCGGTTCCTCCGTTGGAAGGTGGTGACCGCAGAGCCGTAGCCATAAGAGGCATGATAGAACTGGCCACGAACGGTATGAGACGGACGATCCACGAAGCGGGGAAAGCCTGACATCGTACAACTCTACCGGCTCGTCGCCTTCTTGCAGTCTCTGGAAGGCTTTGAACGTCCGGATCTCGTCCTCTTTGGAGTAAACGAAGTGCAGGACGGTATCCATTGGGTAGGAGGTGAGTTCCAGTAAAAGCCTTGTTTCCGTGCTTTTAAGGATGAGCAGGGTTCATTCGTCTTTGAATTAATCCGAGATTACGATGTGGAGCGCACCATCTACAGCCATCCCATCACGACCTCAGAGCTCTTTGCGTGTTGCTATCTTCGTTCATCTGCACGTGGGCCAGGGCCTGCTCTGGGCGTATTGCCCATGAACTGTTGTAATCCCTGGAATCGATCTGATGCTGGGACTGAGAGCGTAGACGGGTCGCAGATCACAGCTCTACTCTCCACTGTCGCATTTCGATCTTCAGAGCCACACTTTCGGTGTGGCATGAAGTCATCGGTCGAGGCTAGGTGAATCTGGCCAGCAGAGTCCAAGACTCTAAGGCCGCATCGTCAAAAAAAAATGAACGGCGTCTTTCCAAATTCCCCCGGTCCTTTGCCAGCATCTCTTTCTTATCGTCGTGGACCGCGTCGACGAGCACTTTTATCAACTGCAAACGACACCATCAAGGATCGGATACCAGGGGGAATATACTAACATTAAGAGGCTCGCTACTGGAGGACAAGTTCGTGGTTGGTGTTGCCTGAAGTTGGAGACAGGTACGTGAAACGTCAGAAGATCAAGACAAACAGGTAATTTCTGCTTTCAGTTGGTGATGTACTGAGCCTCGATGTAGCCCATGGCTGCGGTGCCACTGCCACTACTCCTACTACAATCCTACAAGGCCGTCGTCGCTCACTGTCTGCGTCTTGCTTTCATCTTATATGCCGTACGGAGTCATGGAGAGACATGCGAAGCCAGGAGGATTAATATTGTGTCAGGTCGTTCACACGATTTCAGAAAACGAAGTTCTCAAGTAGAGCAGGCCGAGGCCTTCTGCCGCAACTGGCGATCTTTGGAGCCGAGCAAATGCCAGGAAGCCTGATGGACGCAGATAGCCTGAGAAATGTGAGCGGAGCAAGGCAAAATTTCGCCGCCGACCGGGAGCCGTAGGGTATCTACATATGTTCGCGAAGCTGGTTGTGTCGTGCGACGTCATCCCCGGGTGTGCGGGTGATGATACCGGACATTGACAAGAAACAATGAGCGAATAGGGCAAGCACACGACGAAGGGGAGGCAAAGAGAGTACCACGCGTTCCCTGCACGAATTGTTCCTGGAGTTCGACATTGCTAGAGTTCGACATTGAGCAGTTCTGATTGCCCTTGCGGCGATACAGACCCCAAGCTCCGTGGATTCGGATGCGCCGTGTCGACCACAAGACCTTGGTCTTCTCCTGCGGGTGTCCCCGGGATCAGCTTTCGTTTGTGAAAGACGCGCATGAGTTGATAAAGATCAGGTACCCCTAGAGGTCGCCGCGAACATCTGATAAGCCAAGATCTGGCCAGGAAAGGGGGGGCTGTGGAGGCTTGTTGTGCTGTGTTGGTATTTCTCGTGATCTCTTTCACTCATCACGAAATGCTGGGCATCCCGCGAAGCGATCTCTGGAAAGCGCGAAGAGGGCTTGCAACTCTTCCAAGCATTTGTTACCTCCTCTGAACACTTCCATGTCCTGCCCGACGCATAAATGTGACAAAGGCGTCACTGAGCTTTGACATTCTTCCAAGCGATCAGGAGAAGCTGCCAACTCGTGTCGAATTCGGACACCCGCAGCAGACAGCTCAAGCTGCGACACGATTCAAAGGCGATTTGGAGCCTGAGTAGACCTCGAAGCACTCAAGGAGATCAGCTAAACTGTCTAAGTCGTCGACGCAGCTTATGCCACGACCAGATTCTAAACCTCTTATAAAGGTGCGGGGCTCTGCTAGTACCTTGGCAGTTCCTTTTCACGGGCATGTGATCGCATTGGGATTTGATCATGAACTCCCAACAAGACGCAGGTCCTGCAGCAGGCACCCGTTACGGTACTTCGTTCTCGCAACCGCCAAAGGAGATCATGGAATACAGCTGCGCGGGTTTGTGGAGATCTAGTGACTGTCGTTCGTCTACTGACATGGGCATATTTTAGGGCAGCCGGCCAGATCAAAGCCCGGGAACCTATATGGTGTCGCGAATGTGGGCATCGTATCATGTATAAGAAAAGGACGAAACGCAGTGCGTGCACCATGCTTCGTGCCTCTGAAGACATATTGTCGCTGACGATTGTTGACACCAGTGGTACAATTTGAAGCACGGTGATCACCCCTCACGAAGGCTGCGAGTAGCGCCCATCTCGAGTAATCTGTATCAGAGCACGATCGCTGGCATTGATCATGTCTCGAATTACATATCGTGTCACCAGAGCCCCAAGTGTCTAACCCACAAGTTCAGCACACATGTCACAACCATCCGATCCAACACCTGTTCAGCTGAGGCCATCACGCGCAACGTCGTCTCTTTGTCTGTCCAGGTCGCCACGATCTTCTTGCTGCTTGCTTCGACACACTGCTAATGGTGATGGGTCACCGCGCGCTCACTGCAGGCGGGATCTCGCACGTATAGATCGTCCCCTTCCGCGATCTTCCACTTGTATTCCACACCACCTGCCTTGAACCTGCGAGATCTTTGATACGGACATCAGCTTCTGTCTCCGGACACTCCGGGACGGACTGCTCAACTGGCTGGTCGACTTTTTCATTCTTCTCAGGTCCTTCAGGGGGATCTGCGCAAATTCCGGCATGCATCACGCAGAGACGCAATTTCATATACCTCATGAATTCCGAAGTGGACTGTCGCGGTCGTATCTCCTGGTCAAGTCAGAGTCCGGCAGCTGATCTTTGCAGAACTCAAACCTTGCCAGGCGATCTCTCCCGCTGGTTCAAAGACCGAGGTTGCGCGGTTCCTCCGTTGGAAGGTGGTGACCGCAGAGCCGTAGCCATAAGAGGCATGATAGAACTGGCCACGAACGGTATGAGACGGACGATCCACGAAGCGGGGAAAGTCTGACATCGTACAACTCTACCGGCTCGTCGCCTTCTTGCAGTCTCTGGAAGGCTTTGAACGTCCGGATCTCGTCCTCTTTGGAGTAAACGAAGTGCAAGACGGTATCCATTGGGCAGGAGGTGAGCTTCAGCAATGTCCATGTCTGCGTGCTTTTAAGGATGGGCTCAGCCCGCTCGTCCTTGAGATAATCTGAGATCACGATGTGGAGCGCACCATCCACAGCGATCCTATGACGACCTCACAGTCCACTGTATGATACTATCTGCACTCATCTGCACGTGGACTAGAGCCTGCTCTCGCGGAAAACCGCATAATCTGTTGAAATCCCTGCATTCGATTTGATGCTGAGACTTTCAGAGCAGAAACGGGTCGTGGATCAAAGTGCTGCTATCCGCCGTCGCAATTTGATCTACAGAACCGCACTGCTGGTGTGGTATGAAGTCATCGTCCAAGGCTGAATGGAGGAATCGGTTACAAGTTCATACGCGACCTGGTCTGAGACATCGGACACCGTGTTGCCAAATTTCTGCCGCCCAAGCCTCTCTTTGCCTTGTTCTCTGCATTCTTCCGACGAGCTATCTGACTGGGTACAAATGACTGCCGAGGATGCGAGAGGGGGATCAAACCACTACCACGGCGGCCAAGAGTTTTTTACTGGACGACACGTTCATGGCCACCGGTTCCCGAAGGTGGAGACGAGTACGGCACAGTAAATCGTGCATTCTAGATGATCAAGGCGAACAGCTGGCTTCGTTACTCGTCTAGAACTTGTGATCTGTCGAGGGTACAGTAAGGCGCATAGATACTATTAGTACCACCAATGCAATCGTATAGCCCCGTCGTCGTCTTCCCGTCTTGGTTTAGCCATATCATAGAGTGTCATAGAGAGCCATACGAAACCATCAGGACCGATCGTTGCGTCAAGCCATTCCCACGATAACATAATGCGAAGCTCAGGCGAAGGGGGCCGAGACCTTGGGCCATAAACGACGATCTTTGGAGCCGGGCAATTGCCAGAAGTCTGATAAAGATAGATCGCCTGAGAATTGCGGGCGGAACATGACAACACCTCACTGCCGACCAGGAGGGTGGCCAGGTTGTGTCGCTCAGCGGTCATCCCCGGGCTTGTGGCCGACGATGCTCAGGTGGGCAGAAACAGGCAGCAGCGAGTCGATGGAGGGATTAGACGCAAGAGGGGGGCGAGTGAGTTGCATGCGTCCCCACTGCGAATAGATGCAGGAGTGGGAGCTAGGGCTGTCATGGTCGTCCTGGCGGTGATAGGCTCTTAGCATCGTATTTTCAGGACACGCCGCGTTGACCACAAGAACTTGTTCTCTTCCTTCGGCTGCCACGGGGATCAAATTGTTTTTCTTTGAGATGGGCATGGATTGATGCGGGCGGTCGTCGATCTAGTCTCGTGGTAAATGTTAATGGATCTTGGCAGGTAAGGGTGGCTGTGACATTTTGTCGTCATGTGTTGGCATTGCTCGTAATCTCTTTCACTAAACACCATGTCAGCAACGGAACGCAGTGTCTCTGTGGAAAATGTGCGGTCCTGACACACCGTCTTTATGAAGATCTCATGGCCCGTTCCAGGACTCTGACCGTGGGGACTCCCCCGCCCAGCCCGGCAAGCCAGGGCGCAAGAAAAACCCCAAGTATGTAATGCTCTCCTCGTCATGTCCGAGTCAACATGCTTACGTTCATGCCCGCTCAAGCTCCCAGGCCGCCAGACGCGACCAGAATCGCATTGCTCAACGCGAGTTTCGTCTCCGAAAGCAGCAGAAGGTGCACATTGTCGTGTCGGTCGTTCCTGCGACTCTGTCTGACTCGACCAGATACGCGATCTTGAGACCCGAGTTGAGATCCTCTCCGGCGGGACGGACAAGGCTGTAGGCGAGATGAAAAACATGCTGCAAGGTGCGTTCTGGGCCTTTGAAGACTGCGGTTATCTCTCAAGTATCGCAGACCTCATGGAGGAAAATCAGACTTTGCGCACCTTGCTTCGCAGTCTGTCTGCTTTCATCGGTGAAGGGGCTGGAGGGCTACTTCCCAAACTCGGTTGGGATCTGTCAGAGTTCAACAACTTCGTGAACAGGACAGAGACGGACACTGCTTGGGCTGGATATCAGCGACGCAAGAAGACTTCTGATGTTGCTTCGGGATCCGGCCAGAAACGGGGTGCAGAAGATGATGTGTCGAATGCACACAAGAAGAGTCGGACGGACGATAGCGACGCTGCTCAGAACGGTTATCCTGTGCTCATGAACATGGGTGCATCCATGACGAACAGTAACGTGTACGACCGGACTCACTTTGCCGATCTCATGCGAGGCGGAAACAATCCACCCATGTTCCCCAGTCCCGGGTCTGGTGCCAATCCTCCACCAGCTTTCGCAAATAGCCCGCAACCTAATTATTCGCCTACCTATATGTCCGGTGTGAATATGGCTGTCGACCCATCACTTCCTCCTCTGTCTTTCTCTCCTGCAATTGTCCAACCGGCCTCTGTTCCCCCGTCTTCGGCTGCTCAGTTGAACACCGATCAAGCGGAAGAGGATGACGATCCGAACAAGAGCGAAGCATACAAACTCATTCAGTCGGTGTTCTCGTATTCTCACTGTCCCGGTCCTCATTCCCAGTGCAGTTATCATCTCGACAATTACAAGCGAAACACGGCATATTGCCTACCCTCTTCGCTTCGTCCCACTCTTGTCCAGAGGTACTTCCATCTGCATCGCCACTCTTCTCTCCTGCTGACTACCTGCGTAGAACTGTTCCTCATGGTTTGTGCCGGCCTGTCATCATGCTTGTCATCTGATCATTCCGCAGAGAGCGTTATAGATCGTATTCTTCACCCTGAACTCAGAGATCGAATGATTCTCTTGCGAGGCAAGTGGTTTTGGCTGTGTAATGTCGAATTGAATCTCATTCACATTCTAGGTCGATTTGATCTGGTCGATTGCCTGCTGGACTACCGGAACGCAGTCAACATACATGGCGATGATGTCCTTGCCCACAGCAATTGGGAAATCAGCGAAAAATGGCTGCGCCAGTATCAGTGAGTGTTTCTCAGTCCAACTCTCTCCGGTCTGTCAATTCATTCGCTTTCAAGCTTCTTGGTTGACCCAGCGACTCTCAACATCGTCAATCGCTGGAGGAGAGAGAGAGGTGAACCTGAGATTCGTCTAGCCGAACTCAACAGTGCAGAAAATACGCCCAAGACTACTTGAAGGTGGTGGTGTACGATAGCAGTAATAGTACTATATCTCTTGGACCAGCAAGCTTTGTTCACCCTAAGACCGAGGTCAGGCATAGCTCAAACGAGAAGAGACGGACACTAAGAACGCACACATGGCTTTTCGGACACCATTGAGTTGACCGTGCAAAGCCTGGAGGCGGAATTGATGCTATGCAAAGTCAAGTAATGAACGGAAGCGCAGTGTGCGATGCAAGCACGTACCCTGCACAGCGCAAATTCACCGATGATACCCCTCCCCCGTCCAGTCTCTGCACAGCGGTTTTTCACAGTCGTAGGGCGTGAATATTTGTCGAAGCTATTGAGCTGCAGTTGCGCCTGGTGGCGGACTTGGGCCGGAAGCGTGGTGTTCCGAGCAACATAGAGGTACGCGCGACGAGTGACTTCGTTTGCAAGCACGCCCTTGCGCGCCTTCACGTCGCGCATGACGCGTGCGTTGCGCATGGCGTTGACCGCATAGGATCCTCCAGCAGAGGACATCACGGCCGAGAGAAAGTTGTCGGTGACAGCCGTCACAATTTGCCCCAACTTTGATCCGACCACATCCATTTGTTTCTCTGCCTCTCCTGGCATGCCCGTCCGCTTGGTGAGTTCACTGTAGGAGGCTCGATGGACTGGAGACGAGGGAGCTAATTGTTTTCGCTCTCCCCTTTTCCTCCAGACATGAATCGCGCGTTTCGAATTTCACAACAACGCGAATTCGTATCCTCCCTCTTTGGCTTCACCTTCCTTGCCGCCATCGTCACCGTATCAGCGTCTAATATCTTACCGTGCCCTGTGCGGCCTCAGAAGGCAAGATTTTCGGATGACGAGGAGAAGGACGGTGGCCAGCTGGAGGGTGTGAATCGGGTCACTGTTGCGAAACGACCAGCAAGGCGGTGGATAGAGGAAGTGCATCCTCCCCCAAAACCTCAATCATGAGGTGCGCTCCATCTCCCTTCCCTCTCCCCTCTGGCTTTCTACGACCGAGCCTCATTGTATTTTACCCGTCAGGCTAGTCCGACCGTGATATGGACTACTGTACGGCCCCGGTCTTCGCGGCGGCGCTCAATCGGACCGAGTCTACCGTAGAATAAACGACGGAGAGCATAACCCAGGAGTGAAGACTAAATAATCTATCCTTACGGAATCCCAGGCAGTTTCGTTGATATAGACGCCCTCATCCATCACCCTCTGAACTGAATAAGCAATTACTCTGATTCTGGATCTTGCTAGCGGCTCTCGGAACGTTCTTCCTGCTCTCGTCGCGCTCCGCTATGAAAGGGCCCGTAGTGATCAGTGCAGAGGTTAAACGTTAAACTCCGACAAGGCAGCTTACGGCAAGGGACTTTCTTGGATCGGGATCGACGACAGAAGAGCCAAAAAGGACATTGCCGCCTGGAATATGAAGACGACGCGAAGTGCGTCAGCGTATGAATCAACCGCTGCTTTTCGTGTGACGGGGTCCAGATGACCAATGCTATCCGTCGCATGTCTGGAGGCGAATGAATCGGGGGCGAACCCGTAAGCAAGTTACACTCACTGGATTTGATGTATCAGCTGGGATGACAACAATGAATATCAGAAACAAGTGTTGGATGGAGATGACAAGAGCCGACCTCTGCGGAGCCTGGGCCCTGGATGCGCTCCCGGAGTTTCTGGACCAAGACAGCTTGCAGGATTGCCCCACTGAGACTGACCCCAAGGACCTGACCGGTCGTGCGGAAAAGATAGGTAACTGGAAAATCAATCAGGTCGGGATCACAGCGTGGATTTGCGCATTCACTGCCGGTGGCGACGGCCATTTCCTCTCGTATCACGCCCGCAATCATGGCCTGAATAGCTCAGTCACAAGGGGAGCTGGGGGAGATGGGCGAGCAGACTTGCGATCAGAGTGGTGGTGATGAAACTTGCCATCCCGAAGCCGTGGGGAACGATATCGAGCCAAAGATGCCACTGAGATGTCTTTTCGTCCCAAAGTATCACAAGGATGTTGGCGAAAATGCTGGCGGCCGATGCCACGAGCGTGAGTACGTACAACTTGCCTGTCCGACGCATTGCCCTGTAACGTGTGGGTGCGGTGATCGAGACTCGGAGTTCCAATTGGACTGACCATCCGGCAAAGACGCTGCCAAAGGAAATAGCTATCTGGGCGAAATCTCGGCTGAGGATGTCCAACTCCGCAAGACAAGGCCGAGTGCTCACTGAATGGGGTAACAAGTGGGATCCTTATCGAATGAGGTGTGGGATCAGCGCTCTGCCGCGACATAACGGAGAACAATCTCACCCGTATTGGCCGCCGAATACAGTCGCACAGCCGAGAAGTACTAGCACGCGGTTGGTCCTGTAACCGGCCATCGGGAATTCAAAAACTGACCAGCGGGACATTGTATATCTGGAGAATCGATGGGGAAGATTGAACGGGGCCGGGAGCCGGAAACGCACCATCGAGAATGCAGCCATACTGGCAAACAGATTGGCGACAGATACCGCCAGAGGCGTTCTCCGGGTGATGAGACCAAGTGGCATCACCGGGAAAGGCGCCCAGTATTTCTCCACCAACACAAAAGACACGCAACATACTGCAGAAGCCGAGAACAAAGATACGATCGAAGGGTGTGACCACGGGATCTCTTCGGTGGTCTTGAGACTGAATCCGAGAAGAAGCGTGCCCACAGTTCCGACTAAGGTGGCAGATCCCAGTGCGTCAACGCGACGCAATTTCTCGTGTAGCGACTGTGATTCGACTTCGGAGGGAAGCCTGATGTTTACCTTCCAAGCCACTAGTACCGCACTGACAATGAGCAATGGGGCTTGAAATAAGAAAGCCGATCGCCTGGCAAATGAGACACACCAACAACGATCACAGCGGAAACTCACCATCCAAACTTGTCATTGACCCAGCCACCCAAAGGTCCGCCGATCCCTGCCCCCAGACCGTACAAACTGCGGAGCCGTTAGACGATGTGAACCCACCACGAGCGCGACATGATTACATATTCGCCATTCCTTGGTATAATCCTCGGTGGTTCCTGCGGATCTCTAAGGGCCGACAACCGAATGCAAGAGGAAAACGCACAACGGTATGAAATCTGTGACAATAATGGTTGCAACTGTGCGACATATGAGCTTGGCGGGATTTCACGGGGGCGGAAATATATGCACCGGTCATTACTCTGCACCGAGCGTGTCATTTTCAGGGCGATTGATGTCGAAACACGGGCTCACCCTCCACCGCCCATTCCAGCCAGCGTTCTCGCCATGATCAGAGTTTTCATAGAAGGACAAAATCCGCAAAGAAGGGTTCCAGTGCCTACAGAAAGCTGATCGGGCTGCCCGTGAAAGATGATCTGCCCGCACCGAAAAGGAACAAGGCAGTAAGCATAGCGCCCTTGCGGCCCAGGATATCCGACATACGGCCTGCAGATCGCGGTAAGAATAAGAGTCATGAAGGTTATTGAACGAGGCGTACTTACCATATAGAGGTGTGAAACAGCACAACGATAAGAGGTAGGAAGTCCCGATGTAGGACGCTTGATTGGACTTGTTAAAGTCGCTGCCGATGGGCGTCAGGAGCGTGGCGACGACAGTCCCTGGACGGCATCAAACATCTCGTCTCCACTGAAGGAGCAGACAAACCATCTGCGCAAGAATAGCCATGACATCAGCGCGCTGAAGCGTGATCGCGTCACTTACCAAGAGCCCCGAGGAACACCGCCGACCAAAGTCCAGCTAGAATCCAAACAGTGTCGGACTTGCTGAATTTGTTCAATAGAGGGGGCGGAGAGTCTTGCTCGGAGACGGGTCCATCGTCGACGCTGTGATACGAGGGCGGGGGTTTGGAGAGGAGGCGCTGTGACTCTGGAGCCGATGAAGAGGAGGAGGAGACAGCGTCTGGCATCGGGGGGATGCGTTGAAACCGGTCAAGGCCGTTGTTCTTTATAGTCCGGTTACGCGCCTGGGAGGGCAATAAATTCCTGGGATCCGTAACAAATCAAGCGGTGGTATTTCTTGAGCCAGGAAGAGGCGAGATTGGGAATCTAATTCCTGGCACATCCGTGCGCATTTGAGGCACGGGCACATGTTAGAGCGATTTGACGAGGGACGTAGAAATCGTAATTTCCGTCATCAGCGGTGTGTTGGCCGGCTAACGGTGATCCAACATCTTCGGTCCGAAACTCGGTTCGCTCCAGTCTCTGCGCAAAACATCTTCCAAGGAACACCGTCGATATCAGTCACTGCGTCAGGGCTCGAGGGGAATGGAGATTGACGACACGATCCACCATAGTCGGGCCACCAAGAAAACGAGATCTCCGCATCACCGGCCCCGGGGGCAGTCCAGGCGTCACGGACTGGCCAAGTGCGTAGACGCGGAGGCGCCCCCGAGGATTACATCCTTCTCTTGCGACCGTCTGACGAATCCGTATTGTAAGTCCCGCGACCACGTTTTGTTCCGGCGATTTTCCTCGGGAGGACACGTCAACGAAGTCGACGCATAGAAGCAGAGGATATGAGAGGCATGAGTTGGTGCTGCTCGATGTTTGCCTTGGCGTCTGAAGGCTTGCCATCCAAGTGCGACGTGCTTGGACTACGGGCTTGATCGTTCGCTCTCCGGGCCCTATGAGAACGGACGAAAATCCGTGGGAAGCTGTCGGACCGTGAACGGCCGAAGATGGCCGAAGTGAGATGGTGATCCTCGAAGACCTGGCATATCCTTCAGGTGTCCACTATTCTCCATGGTCCCACCTCAACCTTTCGCGTACATTACCTGCGCTGCAGTGCCTACAGGCCGTCGTTCCCTTCAGTTTTAGGAGCAGCACACTATTCACATTGTCCCGTTCGAGACCGCTTACTACACTATTGTGTCCGAAGCATTCGGTAATGTTGGACATCGAGAGACTCTCAGAACGCGAACCCATTTGGTCGAAGGTGGCGGGGAGGCCCGGAACCGCGCGTGGCTGGGGTTCTCTCCTGCATTTAAGCTGTAATTATTGAGCTGTTCAAGCGAAGTAGATCATGTAGTCCACATAGTGAAATCTGAAATCACGGTTTCCTTCTGACAAACCGTACCCCACCTTCGACTGGTCCATCTTTGGGCTGTTGCTCCCAACCCCCACAACCTCATAACGATGCCTTCAACAAGCCAAGTTGAAGTAGCTCCATCCACTGCTCGAACCTCCAATCCCCCAGGGTGGAAGAATGTCTTCCGGTTCGCAAATTCATCATCTCGCAAAGTGTCCGGGAACACTCCCCAACTTTCGCTCGATACTCACTCCCTTGCCACATCCCCTGCTTCCGGCAGAGGGAGGACGCCGCTCACATCGACCGCCTCGCTAACGCCCGCCTCCTTTCTGTCCGAGGACCGTTCATCGTCCAATTCCTCCACCACCCAATCCACGGACTCTCAACGCGCCAACGGTCTCGTCGCAAGTCCGACTCGCATGACCCCGCGTCATCAGAAATCTGCAGATGCCCTCTCCGTCGCAGCCTCCTCCAAACACCGCGCGCGTTCAAAGCCCGAAAAACATCCTCTCTCCCCCACCAACAATACTTCCGAGATGCTCAGTCCTGCGGCCGCTGGACCTTCCCAGGCCGACTTCCCCATGTCACATTCGCAGTTTTCATCACGACCCGGGCCTCTATCACCCAAGGCCATGGGCGCCTCCGCATCTCGGTTCATACGACGCGTTGCTTCAGCGCCCAATGCCAAGGGGCTCTTCACAAGCTCCCGTTCATCAACGAAGAACGGCATGCTTGCACCTGCCGATGCCGTGCCACCATTACCCACGACTCTCAATACTTCAATGGAGCATGGAACCGACTCCTTGGAGACGATCTCATCGGGATCGTCTCGAGGACGTCCCGCCCGCAGCCACAGCGGGAACATGTTGGCCGCGCCAAGCTCGGTCGCGATTCCCGACGGTGCCGGCAAGGCCGCCTTTCGACGAACGTACTCCAGCAACTCGATCAAAGTTCGGCAGGTGAGACTACGCGCCTCTAGCTACGTCGTGTGATTGACGTACCGCAGGTTGAAGTGGGCCCATCGAGCTTTGTTAAGGTCAAAATGTTGGGCAAAGGCGATGTGGGCAAGGTGTATCTTGTTAAGGAGAAGAAGACAGACAAGCTTTTTGCGATGAAAGGTACGTTTCATGACCCGTTGCTCCTTATTTCCACCCTGACCTTCGAACAGTTCTATCGAAGAAGGAGATGATTGAACGCAAAAAGATTAAACGCGCTTTGACGGAGCAAGAGATCCTCGCAACATCTAACCATCCGTTCATCGTAACGCTATACCATTCGTTCCAGTCCGAGGGCTATCTCTTCTTCTGCATGGAATATTGCATGGGCGGAGAGTTCTTTCGGGCACTGCAGACACGACCGGGCAAGTGTCTGCCGGAGGACGCGTCAAGGTTCTATGCGGCCGAGGTCGTAGCGGCGTTGGAGTATCTGCATCTCATGGGATTTATTTATCGGGATTTGAAACCAGAAAGTGCGTCGCAGCCCCACTGCATTCCTGTGCTATGTCTGATACTGCCTTCAGACATTCTTCTTCATCAATCGGGCCATATAATGCTCTCAGACTTCGATCTTGCAAAACAGTCAACGGATCCAGGGGGAATGCCAGTGATGATTCAGTCAGAGATGAATGGGGTACGTCAGGGCGCTGTGTGGGTTTTTCGAGTGCTAAGGATCGCGTGTAGGTCCCACTTGTGGATACTATGTCGTGCACAGCCAACTTTCGAACGAATTCGTTTGTTGGAACGGAAGGTCGGTGACACGCTGTGTCGAGTGATGCGCGACTGACAGGTCATGGCAGAGTACATTGCGCCTGAGGTGATCGCAGCCCAAGGACATACGGCCGCGGTGGACTGGTGGACGCTGGGGATTCTTATTTATGAAATGCTCGTACGTGTCGTTGTCTGGATTCGTGCCGGATGCTGACGTACAGCTGGTCGTTAGTATGCCACGACCCCATTCAAGGGCTCCGAACGAAACGACACATTTGCTAACATCCGTGACCATCCGGTACATTTCAAGGATTCGCCCAAGGTGTCGCAGTAAGTTTTTGCCATCACTCTTGGCCGGCAGCGTTGACTGATGGCTCCAAGGGCCGGCAAAGACTGCATCGTCCGTCTGCTCGACAAAAAGGAGCGCACTCGTCTCGGTAGCAAGAGCGGCGCTAGTGAGGTGAAGCAGCACAAATGGTTTGCAAAGACCAACTGGGGTCTCCTCCGCAACACACGACCGCCAATCACTCCGACTCTGGCCAATGGGCAGGACGCGGTCAATTTCCGGCACATGAAAGAGTCACACTCTCTGCAGTTGGATGGAGAACACATAGAAGAGGGTGCCGACTTGTTTGGCGGGTTTTCAAGTGTTACGTTGCATTACGATGGGGATTAGAGAGCTTTCTAATACTTTTTTATCTGCTGGTCTCGGCCTGTCTTTGGTTTGTCCGACATCAGAACCAGCTCAGTTTCTTCTCGAACCGATCTGATGATCTCAGATCCCGTTTCGTAGTCCTCGGCGTACCACGGTCACTCGTGTCACAGCCGGTGACAACGAAGACCCATAAACGCACCGACTTGTATCTCATCCCATTCCTCTGCTTGTCCCCTATGGCTGACCTCTATCCGCCCTCGTATCCATCCCGCTCCTTCCACCGCCAGGATTCCTACTCCTATCCCCACCATGACAATGGCAGCGCAGAAGACCTCCGCGACCAGTCTCCCCCGAGTCCCTCCAAGCAGTCCGAGTCGCCTCAGCAAACTCCGGCGCAGCAAAAATCGGAAGCAAAGCCACAGGCAACATTCCTGACAAAACTATACGCGTCCGTATACCCCATTTCGTCTGCACCTTCTCCCGCGACTTAGGTCGCGTTCTACTTAGGCTTCTCGAGCGGCCAGAGAACCACCACATGATTCGATGGGATCCGCAAGGCGAGCATATCGTCGTCGAACGCCCTGAGCAGCTTGCATTGCACGTTCTCCCAAGTATCTATCGCCAGTCCCGCTTCGCCAGCTTCTCTCGGCAACTAAATGTACGTTGTCGTGCTTCGAAGTATGAAATGTTCTGTTAATAATCTCCTGAACTTATAGATCTATGGCTTCATGCGAAAAGTGAATCTGCGCAATGTCGATCCTGCAATAGACGACCCGGACGCCAGTACCTGGTGTTCGTCTTCTTTTTTTCTGCACCACAACTTTCTTCAGCTGACTTGCGCCGATAGCACATCCAACTCTCAATCGGCATTCTCCTCCCGAAGTCGTGGCCAATTTCAAGCGCCGCGTGCCCCCGCGCCTCCCAAAACCTAGAAAGCGCGACACTCAGGAATCATCACCCCAAATTCCCCCTCCTCGTTCTGCCATTGGCATGGGCCCGGTGCCCTTGACGGTCCCATCCTCTGTCGGCCCCTCTGCGCACAAGTCAGGCCACATCGGCAGGGCCCGTGGATTCTCTGCGCCGGGCTCATTCCCTCCTATCATTCAAAATTCTTCTGGCTGGAACGGCAGCTATACGCGTGCTGCTCTGCCGCCATTGACGGTTCCATCCGATCCTCCTCATATCCCCAATGGACCTGGGATGTACAGTCACCACCATTCGCCGCACCCTCTGCATCCGCTGACCCCCGGAGACGAGTCCCCGACGTCACCTGCGTTCAATTCATACTCAGGATCTTCGCACTACCCTTATCCGACGGAGCAAGGCCATTGGTCGTCGCAAAGCAGTTCTGGGTACACCAGTCACAATGGCAGTCTGTCGGCTCTTCTGAACCCAAGCAACGGCGGTTACCAACGCCCAACTCCGACCATCAATACTTCGTATCCAGCCCCGTTCTCCAATATGCCCATGGAGCACAGCTCATCGTCCATGTCTCCCGACAGTCGGCCAACGACAGGGTACTCGATGTCGTCAGTTTCGTCACTCCCGTACGCAGATGACTATTCTCGGCCGAGTTCGAGCCACCATCGGCCGATTTCGCCACCAAGACCACACTCGTCCAAATCGTATTCTTCAGGGAATGGGCTGGGCATCGTGAGACGGCCGCGACGTCACAGCCAAGCCATGAGCCCGTACCCAAGCCCATACGAGCCATCTGAGCACCAGCGGCCATCGACTTCTCCGCAACCGATGGATGACGGGCACAGCGCTGTGCCGAGGGTGCGCAGCATGATCCAGCTGCCATCGGTGGATCCTTACAGCTTCACTCCGAGTCAGGCTGAGTTTGCGTACAACCCGGTGGAAAGCAATGATTCGATCGGGGACAGCTGGAGCGCGAGAAGCGGGCGGCCGTCGACCGCGGCGTCGTCGATATCTGCGGCGTCGCACACGTCGTCCTCGCAGGCCAACACGCCCCCTGTGCAGGAGGGATTCCACGGGGAAACGGACATCAATAGATGTGAGTAATCTCGTTTTTTGCATGGTTCGATGGCGATCCGCGTCGAGTTTTGTTCGCGTTTATTCACAAACGTCGCGTGCTGCAGTATCGTTGGACCATCCCCCACACGCGGTTTACTGATTTGCTCTTCCGCGTCGGCAGTCTCGCCCGACTTTGGATATGTTGCCATGAACGAACATCCCGGATTGCCGCAACAACACTTTGCCAAGTCGCCGGCCGTCGTTTAGATTGGAGATGGAGGCGGACGTTTTTCCCTTTCTTGCTGCATCCACACACTCCCTTTTTGCTGTGATGAACCGTGTACGATCACCCTGTCTTGGAACTCCCTGCTGCTGCTGTGTGGACTGACATACCATCTTGCTCTGTGTATTTGGATATACCACCACTATCATTTGTGCTTTACATGTATCTCTCTGCAATCGATCTCCCCAGATACCATCCGCCTCCTCCGGCCCGGTCCGGCAGTAAACGGGAAAAGGAAATTTCCCTATCCAACGACGGCGTGGAACGTTTGATGCTGGATTGATGGCGATCGAGGCAGTGGCACGCGTGGCCTGTCCAGGCGATTGACATGTCCCGATCTCCTTCCTCGTGGGTTTAGTATCGTTAAAAAGAATAGCCTTTGCACTCGAGACTTTTCCAATAGACACAGTACATAACTAAACGAATGTGGTAGATAAGATACGCAAGTAATACAACCGAATCGAGAATCGTCCGTGGTGAGTAAAACGTAAATGCTGACAGCCGCAGACTATCGCTGCAGCTCCACCATCGGCCGGGCTCCTCCAGCTTCCAGGTCAGCCGCGTCCCCGTCAGCATTGGCAAGGAACCCTTCCCGCTCTTCCGCATTGCCCGTCTCGCGTTCGCTGCCGATCTCATCGTCAACGGCTCGTCGGGCAACGATGGACAGATAGACCAGGATTGCAATGCAGAGCACCACACCAGCGATGGTCCATGCGCTTGCGACCGTGCCCTCCGTCTCACCACTCTGCCCACTCGACGTGTGGTAGTCTTTGAAGGACCGGATCGACGCACCAAGACTGGTGTGCACGATCAGCTTGAACAGAGACGCAGCGGTGCACAGCGTATATGTTCGGAACGTGAGACTGGGAGCTGCAGCAAGCAGGCAGTTCATCACATTGTACGGATAGGGGGCCAAACGGACGAGGAAGAGGAGCTTGGGTCGCTTCTCAACGGCACGCACAACCTGCTTGATGGTTGGGCAGGAATCGAGCCATCGAGATATCGGGCCCCGGAGAAGCGTGCGTGATAAGAGGAAGACGACGATAGCACCTGCAAGAGCAGCTAGGTAGGACAGGATTGCACCCGCCCATGCACCGAACGTGTACCCGGCCAAAACGATGAGTGTGGAGTAGAGAGGGAGAGGAGCTGCTGCGGATGTTAGCCGATATCACCGATCCGGGGCAGTGGGGCTACGCACGGAACGTCGTGATAAAGATGAGGAGAAATAGGACGGTATATCCGAAGGATACATCCGCACGCAACCAGACTGCAAGGTCGTCTAGGACTAGTAGGCTCTGGTCAGCTGCAGGTACGAATGCGATGCTTGTCACTTACACGTAAATAGTTGCGCCTTATAGAACGCAATGGCAACGACAAATATTAAGCTGGTCAGTGCGTACATTAGCACTGGCAGCCAGGGCTTTACGCGCTCGGGGATCCATGCCCTCCGAGCGGAGCAACGATCGCGCTCAGGGGTGCTGAACTGCGGTGCGGGAGGATGAGTTATGCGTCTAGGTGACGGTGAAGGGGACCGGGATCTAGAGGTGAACCTGGACGACGAAGAGGGATAGCGGTCGTCGAGACGGATTTCTAGTGTCGAGTCGTCTTTCTCATTCATGTCGCGTTGCGGCGCATAACGAAAGGGTGATTGAGGTTGACGGTGTGGTGTTGACTTGGTCGGCGTTGAAGATACGGGAGACTGTGTAGACAGCAGCCCAGGCCGCTGGTGGTCCATGCCACGAATATTCAACGAAAGTGGAGGTGGGGGGAAGCAAGGTACACGCTGTGACGGGGCATCAAAATTTAGAACCTGACGCGGGGCGGAAGTTGCCGCCCGCCAACGTTCGTCAGGACTCAATTGGGCTCATCTTGCACTGCTAGTCACTGTGTGAAGACCGATGTGGAAGTTCCTCAGGCAAGTATGATCCGTTTGTTTCACGAGTATCCTGCTCCCTGTATCCTGCTGGAAGCTGAGCCGTCGCACAGCCATGCCATGAGAATGCCGCCCCGTCGCAGGTTCGCGTCAATGCGCCCCCCTCCGCCCCCGCGATCGCAGCATACACCAATGGGCGACTGGTACTCGAATGTTATGCCCGCCATGCTGCCTATATCCCTGCTTGCCGCCGCGGTCTATACGGCAAGTGCTTTGCCGATCTCGAGCAGGGTCGGGACTGAACGCGCTCAGGCTCTGCGCATGACTCAACTGACTATATCCCACGAAAAGATTATGGAAACCCAAGCAGCGAGGCTCGCGGAGCTTGAAGCAGAACTTGACGCGCTCCAGCAAGCCCGGCAGGCACAGACCAAGGCGCGATAGCTCACCGACCGACCCAAGCCGCTCAAAGGACTGGACTTCCATTCGCCAAACTAAAGCTAAACTAAAATGCGTCTAGTAATATCCAGGCAGGGTAGATAACTCAGAACTGGGCGTGAGCAGGCCAGCCAATTACACATCGTCGCTCGGCTCGTCAGTGCGACAACCTTAATACGAGTCGGTGGACAGCTCCGCGGCAAGCCCGAGCACCGGTCGGGGAGTAGAATGAACACCAAATAGCCTAAGTAATCTACGGGTAAACGAACCAGGAGTTAGAATCGAATGCGGACAGTCAATGGAACAGGAGCAATAAGGTTAGGCTGCAAGAGTCGTTGCGGCTTTCAAAAGCGTTTGCTGGTGGCGATCGTACAGTTTCCAGGCACTGGCAAGCATGATTAAGGTCGCGGAAAGTCCGAAAGAAGGCGCACAAAAGCTTGACTGACCTCAACATGCCTGATGTCAGGCCTGCACAAGTCTTCACAGTGTCCCGCCACCGTTGAAGTCTAAAGACATCGTAGGCTATGTCAAACAGAGTGTTAATGTCGGGTCTCTCCACTGACAAGAGAAAGAAGCGACGCACAAACGAATATCAGATCCATGAGCAACTTTGTCCGTGTGATCTGGAGCCAGAAATCTTGTTTTTGTAATCGCGCCATTTCCTTCTCGTCCTGTTTGGCAGTCGCCGAGGACAGCGGCTTTGATTTACCCGGATTTGCCATAGATTCTGCGTACAGGCGCGAATGCACTGAGTGCCAGTTGTCACACTTAGCACGATTCGGGATGTCGTGTCAAGCTCACCTTCATGCTGCAGGCCTCCGATCATCTGGCGTTCGACACCATTCTCCACGAGACCAACCAGGGTGGCAAGCAGCCAGCACCAGTCAGAGAATCGAGCCGCTCTTTCCCCCGTTTTCTTCGACAGAAGCCCTAGAAGCGAGAATGTGTACACATCATCAGAAGATGAGTGCACCAGATCAAGTAACACAGGCGGCGGCGCATGCATCAGCGTATGCAAGAATGGCGTCGGCGCCTTTGGTTTGGAGGCACCACCCATAGACATAGACTCCGTCCGTCGCGCCAGAATGGCGGTTAACGGCGCGAGCCAGTTGAATAGCAGCAGGCATTTTCTGATTAGGCCATTCAGATAGCAGGCACACGTGCAGCATGCATGCCTCATACCTTGTCCGTGAGAGCCCATCCACCGTGGAGGACAGCCTGCTCCTCAGCTCTTGTTCCCATGCTGGTGGCTTCGAGCGGTGCAGTAGTTGAGTAGAGGCGACAGAGTTATGGAACAGCAAGTACAACTTCAAGCCATATTGTATCAATTTCTGGTTGCGCGCCCAATTAGACTTGAGAGCACCAGAGCAACGCCTGATACGCACAAAGGCCTTGTCCCTCCCGTTGCTGGTCAAGAACATCTCGCGCCAGACTTCCTCATTTGAGACGCGCGTTTGTGCAAGTTTCAAGCGCGCAGAGTCCTCCTCCAGGTCCTCCTCTTCGTCCACCTCAGCAATAGTATTCGACTCCTCCTTCGCAGAACTGCCTTCATAGCCGGAGAAACCATTTCCATGTGATTGTGGGTGCGCAGAAGATAGAGAGGTGCGGGGTGTGCGCGGCGGATGCAACGAGAGCGGATTCATCTGGAACGCAGAAGAGGATGCCTGGGACTCGAAGGGCATGTAGAAAGAGCCGGAGGCGTCTTCTCCCGGGAAGGACATATGCGACATAACGGTATGAATCCAAGTTGACTCGTAAACAGTGCAAACACCGGCTAGTCAAGTTTATGACCCGATTGGGATGGAAATCAAAGTTGAACATCAACCACAGTACCACTTGGAGTCTGAGGTCGATATATACTTACCGCTGCTATCCATCGGTGACTGGGTAGGAAACGCACTGAACGTTACTGAAACTGCGATGGCTGGCCTCTCGTCACCTTCGTTCCGCACCCCTCCCCGCTCTGACCCCGCCTCGCCGTCGCCGCTGTACCGCTCCTCACTTCCTCCGCCGCGTCCGCCGACTTTTGACGCTGATCTGCTGAAGAACTATACGAAGGCGCTGCTGCCTGCAACCCTGCAATCTGTCGGCTCATGGGATCCGAAGGACAAGGATCGCGTCAAGGGGTGGACAAAAGAGATTGGTGACCGCGTCAAGACGAGGATGCTGGAGATTCAACCCAGTGGATTGTGAGTGCATGGCGACTACTTCAGGAATGGGGGCGCTAACTGCGCCGCTGAAGTAAATACATTGTGCTGACGCAAATCAACGAGAATTTAGGGCAAGGCGGCCGGCGAGTGGTGTTGGCTCACTGGCCCTGGAATGACCTAATATGTACTGTAGGGCTGATATGGCGTGTCATTGGGAAGAAGCCGACGTGGTCATTCAAGAGATGTTCGCTAATGTGTGTGCGGACTTGCGCTCGTTCATTCTCTGCTCGTGAATTGACTTGGACCTTCTATCAGGACGCCCTGATTTGTATCTGTATCGCTTTTGCCATCCGCATCTCATGAGTCACGGTCGACGTTCCCCCGCTCCTGTATCGATATCATCACGACTACTACTACTAGCATACCTCGTCATCTGCCACCGGAGATAGGATACCCAGGACGAAGGATGTAATCACGCATGAATAAGTAAAACCCACCGCTTCATTTCCGCCACTGAACAGAACATCGTGCAGAACATATCAGAACCAGATATTCTTGTTCCCGATCGAATTCTGACAGCGGAGTGATATGATGCCTGTTGCTGTTGCTTTTCTTGGTGTGCTCTGGTCGTGCTCTCTCTTTGTTCAACCTGGCGGCACGTTCATCATTGGTCTGATATGATTCCTGCGGCTCCAGTAAATGACCTCGGTCCTTGAATTCCCAATTGGGCCCATGCCGTACCAGGGTCAGTGCCGGATGAGCCAACGCGTGCCGGTATTGGCTGCACGTCATGCGGCAGTCCAGGCAAGGATTTTCTGGAAAACGGCTGGGAGTATTGTCATCAGGGATGCCGTTGAACAGTGAGATTTGGGGTGCTCATGCGCGCCGATGCGACCATGTGCGTTTCTGGGATTTGCTCGTCCGCGCGACCGGCAGCTCTCGATCTCTGATTCTGTCAGCGGAACTCGCATCGAGTCTGGAGACATTCACACTCTCGAGGCGCTCATGCCGCGGTCTGGGAGAAGGCTCATCGCCACCCACTGCTTCCCTTGCTTCGGGCTTCTTCCATTCTGCCATGATGCACGGTTATTTGCTTCGATTCTGTTGCCAACGGACGGGCGGCCTGTAATGTTCGTCGAGCGAGTCGAGCAGGCATGGCTTGAGTGCTGCATGCACAGGAGATCTGGGATGCCACAGGGAACTGCGGTCCATCAGACTCTCCGCATGCGACATGCCATCACTGTCAACGATCTCCCCCAAGTGAGCGGGCCGTCGAGACGGACTCGACTCGACGACGCATCTGGTTTCTGACAGCACGATCCTCGTGTCGCGCGGCAGGTCTTCGGCGATTACAGCTGGCAAGTAAATTTGGAGGGAGGGCATCTCCGAGCTCCGAGGATCCTGCCCAATTTCTACGCGAGCATTCACACGGATAAGACACGCCAAATGTGCTAGCGGGTGCTGTGCTCTTACAGCCGCACTCCCGTCGGAACGTGCTTGCCAACCAGCGCCAAAGAGCGTCAAATATCCATCGACATCCCGTCCCGGATCCAAGGCGGACCAGGAGCTTTGGCGCGCAGAATGCCCACCATATTACTGGCTCCTGGCAAATCCGTTTTCGCATGCTAAATCTGAGCTGAATTGTGGAGGAGATTGCGATTCTTCACCGCAGACCTGTATAGCACTTGCCCAAAAAGCCTCCGCGGGAAACAGGTCGTAAATCGCTCCATGCGACGTCGAGGCTTGTGCTCTCACATCAACCGTCTGACTCTAAATCTGATGGAATATCACCACCTGAAAACGCCCGGAAAGGAAATCGAACTGGTTTGAATAGGGCAAATCACGTGTTGCTCGCCGATTCCGCCTGTCTTGGGTCTCGGAGACATCGGTTATTTCCATGCTCGCTTGGGAACACACTCGACTAAAGACTTGTCATCTCGTCTTCTTTCGGTACGTCAACATCCGCCACGATTGTTCAGTAACACCCATCATGATAGTCCTCCTGATCTGCACTTCCAGGCCTCTGCACTTTGCCATTCGCCTGCTTATGTAATTATGCCGTATCCACTCTCACACTGGGCAGAAATCGTTGGCACCGTCGTCTCGAATACAAATCAGATAAATATACAACACAGAGAGCAACGAATCGTCCATCTCATCGCAGGCTGAGCAGGTCGTTACACAATCTTCATTGGGCTGCCTGGAGGGAGCTCGGCGTCGTTGCCAGAAATATGCAATGCCTCGAAGCCCATCGCATTCCCGGCCAGTGGGCTCCGATGCCCGACACCAGCACCCCCAGCGCCCTTCTGCTGCCGATGCCGTCGGCCAAGCAATGTCGCAGCATCCATGTCGAGCTCGAACGTCTTGGCACCGGACGAGCGCCCAGATTGCGTGTTACGACCGCGATCGCGGGGGCCAGCACGACCTGCCGCGCTCGGCGCCTTGGCCGGGACAGGTTCCTCCTCCTCATCTTCATCATCTTCATTCAGGCCATGAAGGAAGCCTCGAACGCCCGCACCGCCTCGCCCCTTGTACTTGCGTCGGCGGGCACCCTCTTCCTCCATTCGATGCACTGCGTACGTCACGTCGAACGCTTCTTTGAGAACCGCAATTCCAGGGCTTCGGCCTTCGGCCCGACCACCGCGAGCGGCTGACAACAGCGGAGAATCCATTGTCTGCTGGCCATACACATAAGGAGTAGCCGGCGGCGGTGGCGCCGGTGCTGCGTTGCACCAAGGATGCGCGAGGAATTCATCGATCGTATATCGTTGAGCAGGATCAACACAGAGAAGGTGCTGAATCAGATCTTTGGCTGGAGACGGCTGGTCAACCCAGGAAGCGTCTCAACTGTGAGCGCACAACACACCTGATGCGCTGATGTCATCCCACCAGGGACTCAGGAAGGTGTAGTATCCCTTCGCGACCTTCTCCGTAAGAACATTGATGCTCTCATCGTAGAACGGTGGGAATCCGCAAAGAAGGGTGTACAACACACACCCGAGAGCCCACATGTCTACACTCTTGCTGTAGCGCTCGTCCTTCACGATCTCGGGCGCGGTGTACCCCACAGTACCGCATGGAGTCATCGTTTCTTCGTTCCAAACGACCTTGCTCAAGCCAAAGTCGGCGATCTTCACACGGCCGATTCCACCACCTCCAACTCCAGGAATAAATTCGCCCTCGTCTTCTTTTTCCTCATCATAAGGTCGATGTATCGGTGTCTTCGAGGGTATGATCGGGATTCGCTGGAAGAGCAGGTTCTCGGGTTTGATATCCCGATGAACGACACCTCGCTCCTCGTGCAGGTACCGAATGCCGCGAGCGACCTGGAGAATAACGTGCCTCGACAGATTCTCGCTGAAATATGTGAGTTTGACGATCTGGTGGAACAGCTCTCCGCCCTCCATTACTGATCATGTACATCAGTATCATTGTTCCCAATGTCAGATGGACTCACATTCGAGGACGAGGAAATAGTGCTCATCAGATTCAGAAAAGGATATAAGCTTCACGACGGAGGGATGGTTGGTGCCCCTCATTATTTGGACTTCTGAGGCAGAGTGAGATTACTGATCGAGTCGAAGGCCGAGTCGCTCACCTTTGAGTATATTGGCGCGCTGGATGGAAATGCATCAGTCTCCGCAAGGTTGAGGATGTTCGAATGAAAAAGAAAGCACCTCTGTAACGCGCGGCTTCTTTTTGAATTTGGGATTCAGGTGCTTATCCCCATCCTAGCCGCGCGCACGAGTTAGATTAGATGGAAAATGGAAGGGTAGATAGAACACAAAATATGACTAACCTGTGACGCGTTGAGCTCGAATTTACGAACGACCTTGACTGTGAACAGTAAGTGCGACGTTGGCCGGCATGACTCGGTGAGACTTACCGGCGACTTTCTTGTTCGTTGTCAGATCTATGGCGTGGTATACATTGGAGAACGCTCCACTGTGACGATTGAGCGCTAGGCTCGCGCTGAAGCGAGGAACAACGTACTCTCCCATCTTTTCAACAATCTGGAAATTCTCGAGACCTTTGTAGGAGGGCATCTGCTCCTTGAGCTCACGCTCTTGCTTCACAATCTGTTCTGCAGCTTCGCGAGACATGGCATCATCGGCAGGTGGGGTGTCAGCTTGAGGAGGGGCGGGTTGTTGCTCTCGTTGAACGTGGTTGTGGTTTTTGCCGTGTCTTAACAGATCTGCGAACGATAAGCGCGAGTTCAAAAGGGAAGAGATGGGGTTTACTCTTGAAAGTCTCTACCACTCCTCCGGCTGATGAGGGCATACTAAGTACTGTGATGGATGAGGGGAAAGGGAGGTGGAGAGAACGCCAACTTAAGCGGACCTTCGCTGTGATGTCATTACACCGCTATGACACATGAGGGGTAGGTCATTGATGGCTTCATGTGTAATAATTAGCGATCCAAATGAGCTCCTCAGAGCCCTGGAGAGTTCAGACATTCAATCACTCTAGCAAACTTTCAAGCGCTCAATAATACAAATTTTAAGTATTCAAGATGACCGGAATTTGAGCAAACAGCATTTTTCAAGAGCCTGATCTCATTCAGTTTCTCAGCTTCGTCGTGGGTCCAATGCAAGATCAGCCAAGCTTAGGCAAACAAATCAATTCCCTCAGTCACGACTTCTAGCAACATGAGTGGGCTAGCGGACGAGCTCTTGGCCGACCTGGATGGACTGTCAGACGACGGCGGCGAGTATCAAGAAGCTAATGAGCCGGAAATTGGCGAAGGCTCCGTTCCCAGTGGCGTGAAGCGCAAGGCAGAGGACGAGGGAGACTTGGACGAAGACATGCTGGACGTGGAAGGCGAAGAAGCAGCCGAGGGCGAGCAAGCGGTTGGGCTCGTTCTTCCAGGTGGTGTGAAGCCAGCAGACGAACTGGACGCCGAGGACGTGCAGCAAATGGAATTGGGCAATATCGAAGATGTGACTAAAGTGGCGAGACTTGAGGGGACCAAACGCATGTCCGATATTCTACAGGTTATTCCCAGGCCGTCAAAATGCATCTTTGGTCTCTGACTCAGGACACAGGAAATCATAAAATATCAATCCAGTCCTACCACACCTGCTACCATGGCCCTTCCTGCGCATTTAAACCCCGAGTATACCTTGATCGTACAGGCAAACAATCTTTCCGTCGAACTAGACAACGAGATCATGGTCGTTCATAAGGTGACGCGTGCATTCACTCTTTATTCTGACATCACTCACACCCCACCAGTTCATTCGGGACCATTATGCGTCCAAATTTCCAGAATTGGAGCAGCTGGTTGTCGATCCGGCCATGTTTATCCGTGCCGTTCGGACACTGGCCAATGAGGAGGTGCGTTCCTCTATTGCAGATCTCGCATTACCGCCTAATTCGTTCAGGATCCGACCAAAGTCGATTTATCAGGCGTACTTCCACCTGCAATCATTATGAGTGTCGTGGTCACAGCAACGACAACCCCTGGGAAACCTCTGTCTGATGCCGAGTGGAAGGCTATTGAGCGTGCTTGTGAGCTGGCTGATCGACTGGAAGAAGCTCGGAAAAAGGTGCGACTATCAAGATTCCTTCCTCATATCTATCTCAGCATCTGGCAGATCTTCATGTACGTCAGCTCAAGAATGAATGTGCTCGCTCCCAATCTATCAGCTATCGTCGGCACGACCACAGCTGCGAAACTGCTCGGTGTGGCTGGCGGTCTCAGTGCCTTGGCCAAGATGCCGGCCTGCAACGTCCATGTTGGTCTCGTTATCCTACATCAATCAATGCCTGATCTTCTTCTAGTTGCTCGGTGCTCAACGCAAGATCACTGCTGGTTTCTCTACTGCAACTCAGCGACGTCACACTGGCTTTATCTTCCAGAGTGAACTTGTCACACAGACACCGCCGGAATATCAGCTCAAGCTGCAACGCACGATCGGTGCTAAATCCGTGCTTGCGGCTCGTATGGATTTAGAACGATCACGGAGAGATGGTCAGTCGCATGGCCGCTCTCAATCTGGGCATGCTGACTCAACCACTCAGGTTCTTACGGCGAAAGTTTACGCGATAAGCTGGAGAAGCACATCGATAGGCTGGCTGCTCCACCACCATCCAAAGTTGTCAAAGCCCTGCCTATTCCCGGTGACGGGCCGAAGAAAAGACGTGGGGGAAAACGGTCATCTATCTCCGGTCCATGTTGTCCTGTAGAGACTGACTAACGTCGCAGGGCACGGAAAGCGAAAGAAGCCTATGCTCAGACCGAACTGCGCAAGCTGCAGAATCGGATGGCATTCGGTGAAGCTGAAGAGGAAGTTGGTGCTTTCGATGAGACGAAAGGTCTTGGCATGATAGGTTCCGCCTCAGGCTCCATTCGTGCTGGGATGGGCGAATCAAAGAGCCGAGCCAAGATGTCGAAAGCAAACAAACTGCGGACAGCCGCTCTCAATCGGTCTGCACTATTGGATGGTACTCAGCCCAGCTCCTCGTCGTCCATGTCATCAGGAACTGCAACATCGCTCAGTGTCACACCAGCACAAGGTCAGCTGCGTGTTTCTCACCCTTTATTGCTTTGACTCATGTGAGCCCAGGTTTCGAGCTCACGAACAGGGCCGCTGCCGCTCAACGAGTCAAGGAGGTCAACGAACGATGGTTTTCGGCAGGCACATTTTCTTTTGTGCCAAATTAGTCCAGATTGGTGCTGTAGCTCTGTGAATGTTCTACAAATCCTAATAATACACGGGTAAACTACTAAGCAGATGTCGGTTTGATGGAAGTAGCTGGGAGCGGCATGGCAAGAAACTTCACACAGCGGGGGCTGGGGCGTTCGCTGTCGCATCGGCTGAACCAGCTGGCACGAAGGAAGCCTTGGGTGACGCGGCCGGCAGACCATTGCGTTTAGAGCGGTAGTCACGAATGGCAGAGCGGATGGCATCTTCAGCCAGCACTACAGGGGGACGTCAGCCACTGTCCGATTCCAAACCAAGGGCGCGCTTACTCGAGCAGTGAAGTTTGACGGGGGGAAGACAGAGTTCTTTTGCGATCTCGGTGTTTTTGATGGCGCCAGCTTCTTCCAAAGAGAGACCTAGGACGCGCTCCGTGAGGTAAGAGCTCGAGGCGATAGCACTGCCGCATCCGAAGGTCTTGAACTTGACGTCGGAAATGATGCCGTTCTCGTCGACACGAATTTGCAGCTTCATGACGTCCCCGCAAGCAGGAGCGCCGACGAGACCGGTGCCGACGTCGACGTCGTTCTTAGGGAGGGAGCCCACCTAATTATACAGGGCATCATATCAGATAAAAACTTGGGGAGTCCAGACCGCAAAAAAGGGTCCATACATTTCTAGGCTGTTCATAATGCGAGATCACCTTCTCATGATACCCGCGGGCAAGCACAGGCCGCTGGAGCATGCGCGGGGCGGAAGGACGAGAGGCAGAGAGAGCAGTCTTCGCGATAGTACGGAACATGGTAGTGGGAGTATGGAAAGCAGTTGCCACCAGCTTCGTCATCAATGCCGCCGGCCTGACCTTGCCGGCACGTGCAGACTGACGTACGCGTGCGTCGATCGGTCCCTGATGCACCTCTCACGTGCGGTTATGGGTTGTGACTGACGCGTCTGCCGCATGTCTCGTCCTGACAATCTACCGCCGAGCGCACGCGCGATCGCGTTACTTCTTTCCTCGACCCCATCTATACAAGATGTCCAGCCTGCTGTTATCCACCAGCTTTTGGACTTCGCGCACCGATATACTGCGAATGTTCTGACTGATGCAAATGTCTATGCCGAATACGCTGGTCGTGCGAATAAGATCGAAATGGACGACGTCGTATTGGCAGTACAAGCCCGTGTGGGTTGGGAATTCGGCGGCAGAGTTCCCAAAGAGGTATCTAGCTTCGCTCCATGTTCAATCTTATTCCCTGACCTGAGAACCACAGTACATCCTCTCCCTCGCGGCGGACGTGAATGCTGTGCCCCTCCCCGCTGTACCGGAAGTCTTTGGAGTTCGCATGCCTCCTGCCTCCGAATGCTTGACCTCAATCGACTTCGACTTGATTCCAAACAAGCCACCGCCAGACGTCAAACTCTATGACGAGGAGGTGGAGGAGATCGAGGAGGAGGACGAGTATGATGAGCCCTCAGATGTCGAGATGGAGCAAAGCCCTCCAATTCCACCACCGGCATTTACTCCAGCTCGACCAGCTCCCAGCACACAGTATACCGAGCCGGCCCAGGAATACGACGACACGCCTTTCCCCATATCCGCCATTGACACATCAGTGGATTTGAGGATTGGGTCTCAGCCTGCTGCTGGCGAAGGGAGTGAAGCTGGGGACGGCGAGGATGGATTGTTCTCTGGTGGAGAAGAGGAGGAGGAAGAGGAGGGCGACGCTATGGAGGAAATCCAAACCAGTCTCAGCCAGACAAACGGAACAAAACGAAAACTGGAAGAGGACGACGATTATGATTGAGCTGTACAATATACACGGTAGTTCTTCCATCTCTGTAATTAAATATACCAACCATTCTCATGTTTGTTGGGCCAAAAGCGCCACGAGGGCAATCAGTAGAGTGATCAGAATCAAAATTATCGTGGTCCAAGCTGCGATAAATGATTACAAGACTGAGATAATCACAATGTGACTGGAGGACTTACAGTACTTGGACGAATCCTCTGGAATACCGATGACCCGGATTGTATTGTCTGCACTGCCGGAAACGAGGAGCTTGGATGTCGGGTTGAATGTGAGAGTGGTCGGGGGGAATTCGTGCGCTTTCAAGATGGTCATGAGAGGCTGCCAGCAAATGGATCAGGTATGTCCGAATCACACCACTCTGTGAAAACTTACATTCAATGTAGTTGCGTCCAAAAGACCGATGCTGCAGTCGGAGGAGCCAAAGGCAATCATGGTGCCATCCAGACTGCTAAAAATTAGATACACAACATGACTCGAACACAAGTTACGGACCTGACAGCAAAACAGGTCAGTCCCTTGTCGCTGACTTTCTTGACCTTTTCAGATTTCCAAGTCGTAGCATTCCACTTGCAGACATATCCGAGCCGCGGGGCAGCTTTCCTTCCCTTAGTACGTCCTGGAATGGTATTGCTCATTGTGTACAAGATTCCGTTGTTTTCCGGGTGAAACCTGTTGTACATGTTGGCAATGCATCCCAGATGCGATGGTAGAGTCGTACCTTGCTGCACGGAAAGTACTTCCGGTAGAACCTGGGAACGCGGGAGGCAAGACCTTTTGTACGAGTTCCAGTTCGACGATATCTGCCTTCTGCTTTCCTTTATTCTTAATGTTGGACGGCGCCTCTTGCTTCTCAGACACGGGTTCTGGCAGGGCATAGACAAGTAGCTCTTCAGTGGTTGCGATCACCAGCTGGTATTGGATGAGTGAAAAGGCTAGGCATAGAGGTATGAAAGACTAACGTTGCCATTTGAGAATGTCGCATCGTATATCTCTTTCTCAGTTATGATGGTCACCGCCACCCGTTCAAGAGACGGGTAAGACAGTACGTCCAGCTGAGTGACTTTTAGGCCAAAATATGGCATTCCAAATGAAAGTACACACCGTTTGAGTACCCGCCACAGCAACGAGTTTGCCGTCAGAAGATATCACGGATACTTTCTGTCCCCACATCAGCATGAATCCTGTAGAGTCACCGCGACAGGCTTGCCTGATAATCTTCTACGTTTCCCGCGACGAGCGTGCCGCGTGTCTGTACCTGGCCAAGCCTGCCGGACTTGAGATATCTGCATGGAATGACGTTGCCCAGCGACTTACTTGCCCTCTTTCAGCGCGTAGACGCGACAGTTTTCGTTCTCGCCTTTAACAAGCTTGTCTTCAGGACTGTTGATCCCGCATACGAAAGTTCGAGCCTTCGACACACGTCATTTGACGCGCCGCTGTATGACACGTACTCACCTCTACGTTCGTGGCCATGCTCATTGGAGCGTCGGCGCCGCTCTCAAGCTCCAGTTCGTCCACCAAGTCTATAGAACGATCGTTTCCGACCTCGTAGACGCGCTTTTCCCCAGTCAGCGAATGATCTCATAGCAAAGTCGAGGTTGTTCACAATCTTGTTCTTTATTCCGGTTTTTGACGCGCCGCCACCACCGCCGAGAACCAATTGGTTCTCCGACACGAACGACGAGGCATATACAGGGAAAGTGGTTAGAAAATGAGGGGTATGTTGAGCGCGCATGGGGCCGAAGCAGGTAAAGAGGCACGTTTGATCGGTTTGCCTTTTTGAATCTCGCCTCCCAGCAATCAATTTCGTTCAGGACAGCTGTGACTGCGGACACTCGTCGTTGTGTGTGGAGGCACACGGTAGGAAAACCTGTGTCGAGACCCTACTTTCCGTCTCGACTCTCAGGTGTATCCCGATGCGCTCCTCCACCTACGCCCCGACTGCGTTTCCGGCTGCGTCCTACGCCGGAGCACACCCTCTCGTGGTGTCGTCATCCTCGCGGTTCGGTGTTTACGACCTCAGCAGCAAACTTCCGGAGCTGAACAGCGGAACCGTTGTAGGTTTCACTGTCATTGGAGTTCGACTGCGTTCGCTAAGCGACGGGGGATAGATTGGGATATCTATCGCAATCTTGGGCAATATACTCATCTCTCTCGCACTCAATCTCCAGAAACTGGCACATAAACGACTAGAGAAGGAGAAGAACGAAAGGAGGGAGTCGGCTCGGTCGTCGAATGCGTCTTCACCCCCCAACGAGGATGCACATGCGCAGAGCAGACCCCTAGGCGAGGCTGCCGTGCTGCTCAGCTCGGACTATGGGGCCATCAACTCCACGGGAGAAGACACGGAAATGACCACTCCCAAGAAGAATTTGTTTTCTCGTATCCTTCGACCGAACCGTGCACGCAACGGCGCACACGAACGCACTGCGCTCATGACAGTGGACGTGATCAGGGAGGAAGATATCAACCACTCACGGCAGTCTTCCTCCTCCTCCCAGGTTGGAATCGACGATGCGCCTGCGTTTGAAGATGGGAGCGAGAGTGATTACCTCAAAACCAAGCTTTGGTGGGCTGGATTTACGCTCATGAACGTTGGAGAAATGGGCAACTTTATATCATACGCGTGGGCGCCTGCGTCGGTGGTCGCACCGCTGGGAACTGTGCGTCTTTTCAATCGGTTATGATACTCTTCCTCAAATTTTCCAGTTCGCACTGATGGCGAACTGTGTTTTTGCGCCACTGATGCTTGGAGAACGATTCCGCAAACGGGATATCTTAGGCATCTTTATCGCGGTCATTGGCGCAGTCACCGTCGTTCTTGCCTCCAATGCCTCTGACACCAGGATGGACCCCGACGCTCTGTTGAAAGCCATCTCTCAGATACCCTTCATCGTCTTTTCTGGCACGTACATTGTTGGTGCCATTGTTCTTGCCATTCTTTCCGAGAGGCCAGCGGGTAAGAAATATGTTTTTATCGACGTTGGTCTGTGCGCACTCTTCGGTACGCTAAATATGTTTTTCTTGTCTTTCCGACGCTCTTATCTTCCTTCCGCAGGAGGATTCACTGTGCTTTCCACCAAGGCTGTGTCTACACTGCTGACGATGCAATGGCTCGAAATGTTTACTCGATGGATTACATACCCCACAATCGCAGTATGTTTAATTATTTCCCTCTCGGTCACTGTGTTCACCATCTACCAGGTCCTAGCGCTCACTGGTGTCGGCCAAATACGATATCTCAATAGGGCACTCATGCGCTTTGACGGCAAAGTCGTCATTCCGATCCAGTTTGTCTTCTTCACGATATCAGCCATCGTCGGCTCGGCTGTTCTATACGGTGACTTCAAGAAGGCGAGCTTCCACCAGCTAGTCACTTTCTTATATGGGTGTGCTGCGACCTTCGCTGGCGTGTTTATCATCGCTTGGGATCACCAGAGCAACACAGAAGCGGAAGCGGATGGGTCAGCTTCCGATCCGGAAGACTCTGAAGAGGAGAGAGAACGGTCTCTGTCCCGACGAAGACCGACCCTTGTCGTGCCGAATGGGTTCAGAGTGGAACATCCCCTGAACCACAAGCCGTCCTCTGTCAGCATGCTTACGCTATCTCCTGCCCGCGTCAGTGGATCCCCTCCCCTCCCCAGTCCGTAACTGACAGCCTTTGCAGCCGCTGCTTCTGGTCCACACTCCTCCGCGGGAGATCCCAGAACGATGGGATCCGGAGCACCAGTTGCTGGGAACTCCCGGTGCAACTAGGCGCCGAGCGCTCAGCCAGTTCGGAGAGCCGCGTTCAGCCACCGTCGGCCGACAGACGGGCAGTAACGGCCGAACCTTCCGACACAGCGTTCCTGCCCTATGGCAGCACGGTTCACTACCCAACTCTTCTGGACAATAGAATACACACACAGACACACACACAATCTAATCTATACAAAGGTCCGCAGATATTCTGTGAGCGCCAGCAAGGCAAGGCTCTGGCCATAGGGCATGCTCGTCAGCTTGATTCTCTTGTAATCCTCGATGTTGCTGAATACCGGAGTCCCGAACGAGACGTTCTGGAGCTCTCCCTCGGCTGTGATGTGCTTGAGCACACCCTGAATCGCCTTCTGGGCTGCGCGGACATATCGATCTTCTCTGGGAATAAAGCGCAGCCGCAGAGATTTCATGATCCCATACGCGAATCCAGCTGTCGCCGAGGCCTCGAGGTAGGACGTCGGATCGTCGAGGAGGGTGTGCCACAGCCCGGTTTCCTCGTCCTGGCATCCCACGAGCCCGTCTATCTGGCGCACCAGACTCGAGGTCAGGAACATCCTCAGGCCGTCCCCCGGGGCGAGGCGCAGCATCTCCATGAAATCGGGGATCGCAGCAGTCGCCCAGCAGTTGCCACGCCCCCAGAGCGCGTTGGCGAAATGATGGTGCCCGTCAAACGTCCACCCTGCAGACATCATAAGGGGATGTGTGCACGGTATATGAAATCGACGCAGACTTGCCGTGGAACCACAGTCCCGTCTTGAGGTCTTGCAGATACTTGACGCTGTCACAGGATGCATTCAGGTTGGGCTCCACCCGGTGCCTGGGTCCAGACGCACTGGAGCATGAACTGCCGCTTGGCCTCCTCGACATAGTGCGGGCGATCCAAAACGAGCCCGATTTTCGCCAGAGGGAGAACGCACATCATGAGGCTGGTATCGTGAGTAAGTGGAGCCTACATCGGCTTCGTGCAGATCATTGACCTGTCATCCCACAGCTGCTGGTAGTTGTCCATGCTGTACGTGATGTGCTAAAACGGTGCGCAGAATCAGCGATGGCAGCTGCGGTGCCGATCGAAGCTGCCCGCGCCTACCTGGAAGCCACCCTCGTCTGTTCTAGGCAAATCGTACATCACCCACTCTGCCCACGAGTCGAGATGGACCAGGTAGTTGGCCTTTTTCGCTTCGTGCAAGTAGGCCGCCGTTAATAAGGGCGACATCGTGTTGATGTTCTGCGGGTGCGAATGCCAGTCAGTCAGCCAGCCGCACCAGGGGGTGGGGTGTCCGTCCGCGCACACGAGGCGAGGACGTGGCTCGCCTTGGTCGTGCCGACTGCGAATCGGTCCCTGAACCAGCTCAGTGCGATTCGCAGCGCGTCTTCGTCGCCCGTGATTTCATGCAGCCTGAGCAATCCGTAGAGCCCTGTGTCACCAGCAACTTCGGCATCCCCTCCGAGTCGATAGGATAACTGAACCTCGCACCGACACCGTGTGTCCACTAAGCTTCATGAGCCGCGAGAAACAAGACCTGCCCTGGAATTTCCAGGCGACGCACCTCCCAGTCATTCCAGCCTTTGGTATCGATCACCCGTCCGTCCTCAAGTGTGAGGAGGAATTCGCCAGTTTCGTCCTTGATATTGACCAGACAGTTGATCAAGTTCTTGATGTGCTTTAAAACCGATGCTTTCTCAGCTTGCATGGCGGATGCCGGTACCGGGGTGGCGTGGCGCTCGAGGAAATAAATCAACGCGAGATATAAAGCGCATTGTGCCAGATAACGTGAAAGGCCGTGATATGATTGATCAGCCGAGCCGGCCGGTCCGGCCAAAATGCGGGGTAACAGGGGTGTGGGGTCGACTCAATGGCTGCCTTGGTCCCCAAAGAGCGCTATAAGCGGTATTTCACGACGGAATATCACCCGGACAGCCTCGGCCATGGCAGGGCGTGGGTGCAGAAGGAGGTCAGCAGACGTGCTGCATCGGGAACCCCACTGCTTGGCATCGCTCGTTCGCGTAGGTGATCCATTCAAAAGCAGGCCTGGCGGGATGTCGTGCACTCCCTACACCGCCATGTCAGTCCCGAAAGGAGTGCCCATCGCGGACCGGCGCATCGAGGACGTCAAGGACGTGTACTCCATCGCGAGCCGCAGCGAGAGCGGGCAAAATGGTTGAGTTATTTGCGTCGTCTCGCGCTCTGCTCCCGGGGATTGACTGGGTTATCTATATGCGCGCAGAAGCGCCCGCTGGAATTGACGCCGAGGTGGCGCAGTTTTTTGCGGCGCAACCGCGCGAGCCGGTGGTTATCGACGAGGCGACGGACCGGCGGCTGAGATGGATGGTGCACAAACGCGTATTGGTCTGTTTCCTTCCCGAATCTGTTACGCCTATAGACTCACTGGTGCTCACTAGACAGTGATGGTGGTCACATACTGTGTGTACTTTCTTCACAGGCCCGATCCGTCGCGCTGATAGCCGTCGAGTCGCGCAAACGCTGGACAAAGGGTGTGGTTTATTGCGTGGGCCAGCTCGCTTGGCTGACTGACGGGCGGCATAGAACTCTGAACTTTGCGAGCATCATGGGTATCATCAAGGACACGCATCTCCGCGGACAGCAATACGCGTGGCTGACTACTTGCGGTGAGATTCGTCCCTAATTGCTCCCGCCGGCGGCATCGCTCTGATGATGGATCGCTTGCCCTCGCAGTCTACATTGCAATGTAACCCGCTTCTTTTCTCCAATGCACGCGAGCTGCCGACTCACCTCCTAATTTAGCCTCTTGTGGGAATTCCCCACGAACAGGTCCGTCGCGCTGCGCCTCCTTTGCACCGCTGGAAACCAGATCCCAGATTGATTCAGCGTCTGCCGATTGGAAAGTACCTCGGAGCGAGCATTTCGGCATGGGGCTTAGTGCTCGCACTGACCGCCGTGTGCCACAACTTCACGGGCCTTGTAATTGTGCGCACGCTGCTCGGAGTGCTCGAATGCGTCTGTCAGCCCGCTTTCGTCTAGTCAGTCCTCCGGGTTGGTCTGCTTTTGTAGCCCGACCTGAATACCATTGGCAGCCTTTCGACCATGTACTACACCCGCGATGAGCAAGCACTCGTCATCGGCTCGTTCTACTCGATGAACGGATTCCAGCAGTGCGTCGGTGCGTTTCCTGAAGTACGCCGCCGTCGACTGCGCGGGTGACCATCGTCTTGTAGGCGGGTTGATTGGCTACGGCATTTCTCAGATCCACAACCAGGCCCTCAAGAACTGGCAGATTTTATTCACGGTTGGTTCAGGAAAACACACTCCTAAAGCGTGAGACTGATGGACGTTCCAGCTTCTGGGGTGCCTCACCTTTGCGTGGGGTCTGTTCGTGCTGTGGTGGCTTCCCGACAGTCCCATGCGCGCACATTGCTGGTCGCGTGCGTTCTTGACTCGTTCTCTCTCTCCTGCATCGGCTCAAAAGTGGGTTCCGCAGCCGAGGATCGGTTGCTGATTGCTGAGCGCGTCCGCAAAAACGAGACGGGCATCCAGAACCGCGAGTTCAAGCTCTACCAAGCCTGTGAGGAATCCTCTCAGGGGAAATCTGATGGTTAAATCGGGCACCTGCAGGGAAGGACTGGGAGACCCGACTGTGTGGCTGGTCACCCTCATCTCGTTCACAAACGCGCTGCCCACAGGCGGTCTGGGGGCGTTCTCGAATCTGATTCTGGTGGCGTTCGGGTTTACGACCTTGCAGACGTATTTGTTGGCCATCGCGCAGGGCGATCATCATGCTCTTCTTGTTCAGCTCCGCGTATTTGGCGAAAGTGTACAACCAGAACTGCTTCTGGCGCTGATCTACACGCTCCCCAACATAGCGGGCACGATCGTCTTCATTTGCGTCAAGACGGACAGCCACACCAAGGTCGGGCTGTTGATCGCTTTCTAGTATGTGCTCTGGATCGCGCACAGAACTTGAGATCTAACCTTTTCAGTTGCATGCAAGGATTCGGTGCCGTGGCCGTGCTGAATCTGGCGGTCATGTCAAACAATGTTCGTCGGTATTTTTACTTCCAACGAATACCGGCTTACCAGTCTTTCCACAGATCGCCGTGTAAGCAGGATTCCTTCCACCGGGCGACTAGGTCTGATCCCTCATCACAGCGGACCAAGCAAGTCGTCGCATCCAGTCTCGTCTTCATCGCATGG